CCCCTGTACCCTCCCTCCCACTGCCATGCCCCCATTCTTTTTTCTTCCCATTTTTTAATTTTGAAAGTTTTGAGCATTCGGTTATTGGAAATACTGTTAAATAATATATGAATTTAATGTTTTCAAGATATTATTAGATACGATAAAGTTTTAAACAGAACTTTATTCAAAGTTTTATTTAAAATAGAAATTCATTTTATTTTTTGATTGGTGATAAATTATTTCAAGGAATATTTGTTCATTTGAAATAGCTTATTAGATTTTAATTCTACTTTATTTAAACAAAAGTGGATGGTTGTTGTTGAAGTTGTTTAGTTTTGATTTTTGATCGCGATGATTCGTTTCAAGCTTACGGAGAAGCTAATTAAATTACTTTTATACATTTTCAAATTCTTTTCCTGAAAAGCAGAGTCCACTCGTGATTTTCTTTTCAGTTTTTCTATTTACAATAAATTTGCATTGAAAGGTGTATTGAATAATATAATGCAATAAAGTCAAGTAGAATCATGGTTGTACTTACGTATATTGCAGTAAAAGACAGTTGTTTCAATTAAAATATTATATATTATTTGTTTCTAAATGAACAAATGTTAAATATTATGCAATAAAATGAAATAATTAATGTTTCTAACTGAAATCATTTACTTAATAACAATTTTTTTTATAAATCTTTTTCTTCTTTTATTTTGGTACTGAAATTTGTTTTTAATTCATATTTTGTGTCTAATTGATGTTTTCTTATTTGGAAATGACTCATTAACCATTAATTTGAGTTTTGTGAAATTGTATTGTTACTAATGTATCTTCTTTTCAGGTATTACATTTTTTTCTCTTTGTATGAATTCGATTAATGAGTTTCTGTTGCAGAGAAATACCTTTATAGGAAGTGTGGATTAATAATATCGGATAATAGAATGGAAGAAATGTAATATAAAATCTAGCATCTACAAGGTGAAAATGATTGAAAAGGGAAAATACATCATTCTTACGAGTGGTAATATCTGAACTGTATTATTTTCAAAAATTGTATTTAATCCTTTTCTGTTTGTTTCAGCCTGGTTGTAAATTTATGATTAAGGCTACACGAGCCTCATTATTTTCTTAATTTATGTTTAATTCTTTTCAGTTTGTTTCAAGAAGTATTCTGATGAGGACAACAATATCAACACATTCATTGTACTTATTTATGTACAATCCTTTAAATTTTTATATAGACTATATATGACGTTATAATGATTAAGATATAATCGTTGAACACTGCAGTGTTTAATTAGGAAGCGTTAGATTTAAGCGAATTTTTAACACTAAACGTATCATGACCGGTTGTGAACTTTTGTCTTCATGACTTTTTCTATTAAATATATAAAATTAATTTTACATCATTTATTTATATTTTTGTTTGTTAAATTCGATTTTTAACAAAAGACGTGTAATCTAGCGTCATTTACCACGACAGGTCATTTGACCGGTTGCGGTACAAATAGATATATATTAAATCTCGGTACGTTTAGTGTTAATATAATTACGAGCGCTCGTTTAGGTAGGCATTTTTAGTAATATAAGTATGTAGGACAAATATGCAATTGCATATTTATTAATTACAGATCTGTAATCAAAATCAAAATTAAAAAATGTTGCGATATGAATAAAAAGCAAAAATGTACGTAGATATATGTATAGATAAGCAGATAGGCAGGTAGTGATTAAAAATAATGCTCCTTTTGTTGTTCGTTTGCATAACAGTTAAAAACGTTTTGCAAATGTGCATCAAGAGGATGATGGTATTGAATAAAAATAAAAATTTGCATAAATGGAGGGTGGATGGGATGAGGTAGGGCGGGTCTCCGCCCGCAGCAACCTCCCCGTGGTGAGACCTGGGCAATCGTTATTATTTGATGGATAATTAATAATTGCATCATTATTTCAATGGTACACTTATTAATTACGCAGCAAATAATGCGAGCGAATTGGCTGCGAGATTTACAGTTTGTTTTTCTATTTTGTCTTATATTTTTTCCTTAATTTTTACATTATCTTTAATGCACTTTTATCTTATTTTTATGTCATTATTAGTTATTCATTCATTTATGTAATACGGTAGAATGGAACACTGTATTACCAACTCGTACAATACAAGGACCAATGCATATGCTAATGTGTATGTGGTTTTTTATAGATTCTAAGTACTCTTTTACAAGAATTGGCCGCGTGGTGCAGCACCACATTTCGCCAATCACAGTTCACGACTTCTAGGGTTTTTCCCTATTAATTCTTATAGTAACTTTTTCATTCAGTGTATGTACATACATATGTAGGTACATATGTATCTTCATACACTGTGTCCTATGGACTTGTTCAATCTATGATCTTCAGGAAACACTTCTAAACTATGGTTTTCAGAGTTTGTTTTTAAGAAATTGTTTCTCTTTAAATAAAAAAGAAAGAATGTCACCAATGAAAGGAAACTCACCTGATTCTAACTGGGATTCAGGTAAACAGCAATATTAATTTAATATATATATTTATGTTTTATCCAGTATAATCAAAATTGCATCTTTCCTGTTTCAAATGAAACATAATAAAGTGAAATTTTTATAGGTTCTGAATCAGACAATCAGTGTGAATCTTCTAGACGAAGTCGTAGTGGTACACCTAATTCTAATCCTGCAAATTCTGCACAAGAAAGAAATTCTGATGATGAAAATGATGCTCGTTCAGTAGCTTCAAATGTTAGTGACAGATCTTCTAGGTCTAGTAGTCAATCTGCAGAGGAAAAAGTAAATTCTAGACAAAATTCTAAAAGTCCATCTCCAGCTAGATCAGATTCTAGGCACTCAAGTATTGGATCTGTGCACAGTGAGAAGTCTGGTTCTCAGAGATCTAAAAGTGGTACTCCAAAATCAGTTGCATTGCATAATAGTGACTCGCAAAGATCAAGATCAAGATCATGCTCTCCACAAGAAAAAACACCTGAAAGTCCAAAATCTACAGAGTTAGTAAATTAACAATTAAAAGTATTTCTTAAGAGCTTAATGCAAGGGTAGAAAACTATCATAATATTAATTCCAGTTCTTGAAAAAGTTTCAAAAAATATTAGTTTGTATGATAACTATTAATATTTTCAGGATGGCAAATTCTCCAGATTTTTCAAGAACTGAACATGCAAATTCTGGACAAAAACCAGATAGCTCTGAAGAAAATAAGGATGATAATGAATCTGAGAAGTCTGTAAAAATAAGGGGTGTGTGAATAAAGAAAGCTGTTAATTAACATTTGTATTTAGAATCGATTAAATATTATATCATAACATTGTAGGTAGTATAAAATCAAATGATAGTGATGCAGAAGGAAGTCCAGCTCCAAAAGAAGATAATAGTGGCTCTGCTTCTGAACCAGAAGATGGAGCGAAAAAAGCGAAACCGCTAATAGATAGTGATTCAGAAAGTGAACCAACAGGAAAAGAAGCTCTAGCTCCAACAGCAGATGCTCTTTTCGGAGATGCAAGTGACATAAGTACAGATGATGAAAAGGACAAGGAAGAGAAACCAAGAGAGAAAAGTCGAAGTAAAAGTAGAAGCAGGAGTAGAAGTAGAAGTAAAAGCAGAAGTGGAAGCAGAAGTAAAAGCAGGAGTAGAAGTAGGAGCAAAAGTAGAAGTCCAGATAGATCTGACAGTGGTGGTGAGGGTCCTAGTCAAGCAATTATTGAAGATGTATGTATTAAATGACTAAAATATTATTTAAGAGTAAAGTAAGTATAATGAATTATTGTTCTTAAATTTATTTAGGACGTAGATAAAGAAAAGGAGGAAGAACCCGAACCTCCACCAGAAACAAGAATTGATGTAGAAATTCCAAAAATCTCAACAGATTTAGGTCGTGAAATACACTTTGTAAAGCTTCCTAACTTTCTTTCTGTAGAAACACGACCGTTTGATACGGAAACATATGAGGATGAGATTGATGAAGAGGAAACTTTAGATGAAGAAGGTCGAGCTAGATTAAAGTTAAAGGTTGAAAATACTCTTCGTTGGAAGGACACTTTTGACGATCAGGGTAAAGTTGTCAAAGAAAGCAACGCCAGATTCGTAAAGTGGTCCGATGGTAGCATGTCTTTACATTTGGGTTCCGAGATTTTTGATGTGTATAAACAGCCACTTCAAGGCGATCATAATCATCTCTATATCCGACAAGGAACTGGTCTCCAAGGTCAAGCAGTATTCAGAACTAAATTGACATTCCGTCCACATTCTACAGAATCTTTCACTCATAGAAAAATGACAATGTCGCTGGCGGACAGATCGCAAAAGACTTCTGGTATAAAGGTGTTGTCTCAAGTAGGAACCAATCCAGATCAAAATAGATATGAAATGATTAAAGTAAGTTATTATGAAAAATATGATATTAAATTAACAGTCATTCAGTATATTAAAAATTACTGCAATTTTTAGAAAGAGGAAGAGAAACTACGTATGGCAATGAGAGTTCAAAGTAAGACAAAGAAAAGTAGTGCAGGTAGAGGAACTACTGGAAGATCTGTGGGTGGATATGGTGCTGATGCTTACCATGACGATGGATCTGATGATGAGGGTGCAATTTCCCTTGCAGCAATTAAGAATAAATATAAAAAAGGAATGAATATTCCTGTTAAAGGTGAGTTATTATATTAAAATAAGTATTTACGGATTATCTATATACTTTTATTTTCTTAGCGTCAAATATATATTCATCGGATGAAGAGGGTTCAGATTTCGAGACCTTCAGAGCGAAAAAGAACATTAAAGGGAAGGTTCTTAAAGATTCAGATGAAGAATCAAATTCCGGAAGTGCTTCAGAAAGTGGAAGAGAGGATAATAATCAGGGTGATAATGCTAGCGATTAGAGTACTAATTTTAAACTATGATAAGTTGTTTTGTAATATAGTGAAATAAATCAAAACATTTCTGAAACATTTGAATTACTTTTATAATTCATGAAAGTACAGATTTCAACATGATCTAGGAATTTTTTCCATCCAAACAATTGGTAGCAGTGATACGCACACAAGTGTAACACAACGACTTGTGCCACGAAAGCATTTTTATCTTACGAACTATAGATTCTTGTAATCAAGAATTATATATTCTAATTTGTGAGTATAATTCCTGTATTCATTCATAGTATTAACCAATCGAACTAATATGCGTTAACAATACTCGTAATTGTTTACAGTAATATAGTAAGTGACAAACATTTTAACAAATATTATCCTTTCATTTTAATATAAATGAAATTAAAAATATTTTATTATACTTTTGTTTATATGTTATATACATTTTTACTATTAAGTTAATACATACAACAAGTGAACATCAAATAATTGTATAAACAGTTTTTATATTTTTCATTAATGAAAATTTATGTTAATCAAAGTTTGGGTATAATATTCACTTATATTGGAATTATATTTTTGATTATATAATTCGAAAATAAATAAATAATTGCTTTAACGTTGTTTATAGCAAGAAAATCGTACAGTATAGAGTTTTCATAATTTTAGTTGTTCTAAGATAACTTGAAATTAATTTTTACACAAAAATAAAGACATACTTATGTATTTCTTTATAAGGTTAATTACTTCGTTGTTTTAATTGAGCTATTGGTTTAAGTCGATTTAACCTATTTACCCTTGCGTATGTTGTAACATAACCTCAATATTTTTTTTTATTTTTTAGGAAGAGCTTAGATACGAAATTTTCTACGAACTAATTTATCTTTATGCTAACTAAGGATTTGTATAGGAATTGCATAAATAAGGATTCTTTAATCTTATTGTAATTTTATACTAATAAACAGGTATTAATATTCGACTCATATTTAACATTAAATTATGTAAATATGCTACATATAATAAATAGTAATAATTCTTTCAGATTTATCACAATGGTTGCCCACACAGTACTTCTTGACTTCACAGTTCCATCAAATGTAATAGTAGATGTAGAGAAACGTTCAAATCTAAAATTAGCAATTGCCAATGTCCTTGGAGAACATTTTAACGGTTTAAAGCCATTAACTGAGTCAAGTATTGATGGAAGTCTTTTGATTCTCTATACTGGCCCAAGAGGTAGCTTGATCACTGTTCGAGGATATACTGAAGGCTTGATCACCCTTAACATTGAATATTACAAGAGAGATGATGAGGAGGCACTTCTGGATTTTGAGGTAAAGTTCTTTATGTAAGATATAACAATCATTTTGCAATATCTAGTTGCAAATTTCACAATATTTAGTTGCCTTTCATGGCTATCAAAGACAAAGTCAGCTTTTGTATCTCTCAAAACATGGGGTCATTACAAGGTACATCTTGTTACATAGTAATCAATGACAAGAAAAGAAAAGAATATACCTTTTGAAAAGATATATTTAAAAATGAACTGATGCATTATTAAACAATTCGCGTATCTTCGTGTAAGAAATATTTGATGTCAAAAAGTTGCAAGATAAATGTATTGTAAAAAGATCATCATCTGATGATTACTATTATAGAAATAAGTAGAAATTTTACTATATGCGGAAGAAACACGCGTAACAAAGAGGACCTTGTAGCAGTGGCGATACCTGGAAGCGGACGTTGCGATGGCTCTGAACAGCCAACGCAGCAAGCGCCTGCCACCAGTAAGGCGAGGAACCATATATGACCTCTATCTGACACTATCAGGTAGAAACCACTTCCCCAACTAGTTCCCCATACTTAGTTATCTATAGCACTTTTACCATCATGCGAATTGTTTTCGTTGCACTATAAAAGACATCCACAACTCCGATCGGTTAATTTTTTTCCGGTCAGCGTCTGTTACTTCTTCCCGGTGTTACTTTTTAGTTTTTGCGACAAAAGGGATTTCAAAGTGACTCTTGATTCATACGTAAAAGAAAAAAAAAAATAATGGGGGAGTTGTCACGATTGGTTTAACCAGATAGTTTCTGTTTTTTTTTTATTCGTCGGTTCGCTTGTCACGGCCACCTTTAGTTGGCCAGAGAATTGGAGACAGCGTTGCAAGCGGCAGCAGCCTCTACGCGTTCGCATACGCTTACACCGATTAAACGCGGCGGACCTTTTGAGAGATACTTTCCTACCGCCGGTGAGTTTTTTTATTTATTATTCTGTTTACGGTATAAGCGGAAAGCTATATCCGCACAATTCTTATCATGCGTCGTAAACGAAATCTGCTTTGATTCATTCTCTCGATTACTTACCTGTATCAGCAACATTCTTTTCATTATTCCACGTGCGAAGCTGTACAGCTATTCATGGTCTTTAAATCCATGTATGTGTCATCTCAGTATTGTCTGAGTTATTCACAATACCATTTTTTTCTATCTTAGCAATGGACACCAGTTTAATCATTCTTTTCTTATTTGCTTTATCAGTTTTGTTGCAGTACCTATAACTACAGATGATTAACTATTTTGAATTCTATGGAATTTATCATTTTTACATGTTCATACTCATATTTTATATGTATACCTTTTTGTTTATCCAATTTATATATATTAAGAACACATAAGAATTGATAGATAACTAATACCCTAGATTTAGATAATACAATATCTTTTATACTTTTTTCTTACTATTCTTATTTTGGATGTGAGAAGGAATTATATTATTTTTACAAATTTGCGCTTTGCATCGCATGCGTCTATTAAATGCTTCTTTATGCAGTTATTTTAATTTTAAGTTCTGTAACATTATGACAAAATTCCTTTTTTTATTTTTAAGATGATAGACTACTCGAATATGACATAGATAAATTGGTCTTTGAGGCACGTTCGCCTTACCAAAAAGTGCAAATTGTTCATTCAAAGTCACTAGGGAATCTACTGGTTCTTGATGAATTACAAAGTAAGGGGTAAAAGGATTTTATATTTTCGAAACGATTTTTAAAAAATCTTCTAAAATGAATTATATTTTTAGATATTTCTGAAGCAGATCTTATATATACAGAAACTCTAATGCAACGTGGAAAAGAGAGCTATACCGGAAAAGAGATAGTTATTTTAGGGGGAGGAGATGGTGGCTTACTTTGGGAATTGTTAAAGGAGAAGCCAAAATGCGTAACTATGTTAGAAGTATGTTAAATTATTTATTGAAAAACATAAAATAATGCATTATATTGTATGTTATAAAAATATATACTACACTTTTTACTGAAAAGAAGTTCTTCGGTTTTAGATTGATGATATTGTAATAAAAGCCTGCAGTCAGCATATGAGAAGCATATGCGGAGACTGCTTGGATAAAAGAAAGGGAGAAAACTATGAGGTAAATTTCACGAAAAGTTGTTGGTTTTAACAGTTAAACAGGAAACGGCAGAGTTTTTAATAACAATTTAAAACTTTGTAGATTATTGTTGGAGATTGTGCAAAGACTTTGGCACACATGATTGAAGAAGGTCGACAGTTTGATTATGTGTTTGGTGATCTTACAGATATACCAATTAGTACTGCACCACACGGTGATGCATGGGATTTCATCAGACTTATTTTAAACTCTTCAATGAAAGTTTTAAAGCCTACAGGAAAATATATGACTCATGTGTGTAAAAATATTTTAATTGTAAAAAATAATTCAGTTTCAGCTATTCTTATGCACACCTTTATTTGGACTATATTATATTTCAATTTTGGAACTGATATTTAACAATACCTTACTTCTGTTTAAAGGGTAATGGAGCATCTTGTCCACAATCATTACAAATGTACGAAGAAGTTCTGTCACAGCTCTGTGTACCCGTAACGTTTACCAAAGATAGCGCTTTTGTACCCTCTTTCTTCGAAGACTGGGTCTTCTACCAAGTATCGTTAAAATGATGGATTAAATCTATAATTCTGAGGTATCAAGGGAGGTATATTCACAATCCATTTTCTCCCTTATGACCCAGATTTGATCCTAGTCGCAGATTTTTTGCTAACAAGTCGGTTCCTGAAAAACAAAATCCTGATGCTGGACATAAACTCCCAATTGACACTACTACGCTGGCGTCTGTACATACAAAAGGTGGTGGTTATCTGTACTTATTTAATTGTTTAGTAACTAATAAACTATACAAAGGTGCTCAATTATTTTTTCTACTAACTGTCAATAATCAAACTAATTTACCCAATGATTTACTACAAACGAATATAAACAAAAATCAATACAACAGATAAGTTACTGTATAAATATGTTAGTAATTAAATCTTTAATAAATCTAGAAATACAATTAGATATAAATTTAACCACACACATACGCACATATATATGTTTCTTTAACACGGATTTTGAATATATCTTGGATTCAGATTGCACTTGTTGGTATTTACTAAACAAATAGCAATTTGTAGATGTACATAAAAAATCAAAAATGTTGCATGAAGTATGAAGTGTATGAAGTAATAAAAGGTTAAGGGATATGCATAGAACTACCTACCATTCAATTATAACACTGATTATATTTTTTTCCAGTTACTAATAGCCTGTTTATAGTTGACTGTTTTTAAAATTTTTGTTTTGTGCAACGATAAAAGGTGAGAACAAAATGAAAAAAAGGTGTATAAATAAAAACAACTTTTATTCACTGGTAAGTAAAAGAATACAAGTTATAAATGAGAATATTAGTTATAAAATAATAATTACTGAATATTTATTAATTTTAAATATTGTAATGTTATAAGAACAATAGTATATAATGCGTTTAAAATGATTTTGATACCATTGTTTATGCATATTATGTGTAAATAAAAAGTTAAATTATCACTTTTTGTTTTAAATATTGTAATTAAAGTCATAATGGTTAATAACTTCTCAGTACCATATCAATATAAATACACTTAATCATTAGTAGTACTATTGGTCTTAATTATGAAAAAATATTTCATAATTAATTACCACAGGTATAAATAAATAAAAGAAATGAAGAAGAGTATGGGAATGAATGATTCAATTACAATGAATGAATGATCTCAAAAAAAAGTATTCTCTATCTCAGTAATAACTAAAAATAAATACAAAGTAAAAAATTACACGGTGGGTTGAGTAAATTCAGTTAGATACAATTTTTATGTTTCTAATTGAAGCTTTGTACAGATATAAGTATCTGATATTTCAGGTAATTTTTCAACTTCATGAATGGTTGGTTCTATTTCTGTTTCCAGAAGTATTTGATCCAACCACTGCTGAACTTGCTCTGTGTGTCCATAAGAATTATGTTGTTCTTCTATAATATTTCTTGTTGAATTTTTACATGTTTCATTTTCTTGTTGATCTGTGCCAACAACCTGAAGGTTGAAGTCATTCTTCTGAAACTCTATATCCATTTTTGAATTATGAAGATCTTCTTGAGAATTCTTATCTTGAAAATTAAAAATTTGGCTGGAATTGCCTATTAAGTTTGTTACACTAGATGTCCTCAATCCACAGGAAGTATTTTGCATATTTTTATTTTCCATTGTGGAAGAAAATTCAGTATTTGTATTGGAAGAAATGATTTCTGTGTTTTTGATAGACTTATCAAAACAGACATGATCTTTGCTAATATCTTGGTACTCTTCAATTTTATATGGTTCTAAATTAGTTATTGCTGTTGAATTAGATCCTTTAAGTTCTATTCTTCCAAACTGTTTAATCTGCTCCTCAAGAGCATTCTTTTCATCTAATACTGCTACAGAGGGAGGAAGAATTTCTTGGCTGGATAATGCCAAAGATATCTGCTGTCTATAAATTGCTTCTGATTGTCGCAAAAGCTGTTTTTCTCTAGCATATAATGTTTGTGCCAGTTGAGCAAAGCATATTTTAATTTCCTCTTGAACCTTCAAATCAATTACACATAATAAATAAGTGAAATAAAAGTACATAAATCATTGTAATTCTAAGAAAAACAGTACAACAGACATAACCTTAAGATAAATGTTAAATAAACATTTGACTGTTAAATAAGACATAGATAAAATTATAAACATTATTACCTGAAGAAATTGTTTCTCTAAAACTGTTCTCTTATCAGTTATTAGCCTTATCCTGACAATATTGTTATCACTGTCAGTGTTCTCTTCATTCTTTTCTATCATGTTATTTATTTACTATAATTAGTACAGCAATACTAATTTATTTTCTCGCGGATTTCTACTGGTAAAAAAGCATAAAATTACACCACTGGAAATGTAATTGCTCTTCAACTCCACGTAAAAAACATCACCTCCCTGCTCGTCTGAAAACCACTCACATAGAATCCAGTTTTTCTGTTACATCCGTTAGATCAACCACGCTGCCATCTTTGTATTAAAAAAAATCATTTCTTTCAAATGAATACAAATAAATACTTTGTTTATTTAAAATATTTTATTTTGTATTATAAAAGTGTGTAATTGATTAAAATACAGAAGCTTCTAAGCTAGGCTCTCCCTAGCCCTCCCTGGCTCCTCTTGGATCTCCCAGCTCTCCCTAAATTTTCCCAACACTGAAAACAAGGGATGAAAACACTGAAAAATTCTTGAAATTTGTCATTAATTCAAATTAACAGCTACCAAATGTTTATCAATTGATAAATAAAAGCTTAACGGATTGGTTACATTGGCATCAATAATTAACAAGATGACTTTTGGTACTTATCTTTATTTACCAAAAAGATTTCACGTACAGATTCTTTGTTCCTATTTTTCGTCGTTTCTCACATCGAAGTTATTCTCTCTAGAAGAAAAAACATACGTCGTGTACATAACTACAATAGCTAACTGTGATAATTCCCAATTAAATATACAATAATTTAAATACTCATTGATCAATAGATATCAGTAACAATATTTTCTTCTTAGTTAATGCAACCTACTGTCATACTTTGTCTACGCGAATCTACAATTTCATCTTAACAATATAATTTGCACGTACACCGTCTGCAGAATCGCGCGTAAACCGAGACATTTTTGTAATCATACAAAAAAGAAAAAAATATTTCGGCTTATCGATCGATCGAACGATAGGATATAATAATTATGGCAGCGTAAATATACGTGTACTTAAATAATTAAATTCAAGGAGTGCAATAGTTTTTTTCTTTTCGTTTATGGTACACGCCCGATATTTGCTAGTAAGTTAGCCATTGCTAGAGTAAGTTAGCAGCTAAATTTTTTGGGCTTACGCGAATAGTTTCTATCTATCGAATAGGAAGTTGCAAATCTTTTAAATCATTCTCAAGAATGATCGTTCCTTCTATTTCCTTTCACTTTGTTAACGAACTATTCGCGTACGCCAATAATTGTACTTACGTAAATTATTAAATATACTTAAAAGTATAATACTAAACGCGCGATTTCTGAACACTTTTAGCCGCCTTCTATTTTATGGGAGCTCCCGTTCGATAAGAATCTATCAATTACTACCTACAGTCTAGGCCTAATCTATCTCCTAGACAATTAAGAGAGTTCGTTTAAATAATACACATGGTTTTTTGTTTTTTCGCAAACAGGAACACAATAAAAAGTTCGTTTCGAATCAACGAGAAAGGTAATTTTACAAAAAAAAAAAAAAAAAACAAGAAAGAGAAAAGAATGGCTCGTTAAATTAATGATAGGAAATAATAAAAGATTAGGACGATTAGTCCTTTTTATTAGGAAATAAATCCGTGGCAGTTAAAGTGGTGTCAGTTCGACCGATGGCTGTCCCATTTTCATTCGTAGACTTGTTACGTCGTCTTCTATTCGTACTAACAGTTTGAATTTCTGAAAATAAAGAAACGAAGAGGAATTGTTAATCGTGAGATTTATTGAACTTTGAAACAACGATAGAAATTGGTGATTTACCGTAGACCTATCTCCTGGAGTTGTCATCCAAGCATAAAGCATGTAACCTGGTATACAGAGCATAGAAGATAAGGCTGTCATCCAACCCAGCACGTGCGACCACCATGGATACTCATAATCTAGATATTTCACTGGTGTCCATTGCACCAGGTTGAAAATGAAGACACCCTATTGAAATAATGAAACATCGATAGACGTGAGAAAAATTACCTGAAACCTGTTACTATAAACAAAAATGGTATCAACTTACCACACAAATCATTGGAGTAGTAACAGTCCAACAAAGTTTCCACCACATAAGAGGATAATATCCTATCATATCTCTGATAGCATCATAGAATCGATTAACACCGAATGCCCAGCTTATGGAGATGCACTCGAAGAAAATTAGAAACAGAAGACAGAAACCGGAAACAGCATACGAATCGAGGATTTGGAAGACGTACATGCCACCCTGGGAGATACAGGATAACCCAATGATATAAGAAAGCACGCACACGATCGCGATGAAGAGTTCTTTACGTCGGCGAAGCAGTTGTGGCCATTCGTCCACCTAGAAAAAATTCATTCCAAAATTAATTCCATCGATCATTTTTGTTTCAGATGTTACTCACCATGGCAGTGATAAACCCTTCCATGGTACAAAACTGTGAATCCAATCCGATAAGAAGAAGCATGAAGAAGAAGAGGCAAGACCAAAGGGGTGCTCCAGGAAGTTGAAGAACTGCTGATGGATAAGCTAAGAAAGCTAACCCTGGACCGGAAGCGGCCACTTCCGCGACAGGCTTCTGTTGCTCGTGGGCCATGAAACCCACCACGGAAAATATGACAAATCCGGCGAACATACTCGTCGATGAGTTCACCGAGCATACGATTAAAGCATCCTTGTAAACGTTGTTGGTAAATTTATTGTAACTACCGAGAGCTACCAAAGTGCCCAATCCCAATCCGTAGGAGAAGAAAATTTGAGTGACTGCATCTATCCATACCTGAAACATTTAATAATAAAGATATTAGAATAACTAGGTACGGGTCAGGATGGGACTTTTTCCAGAAAATATTCTAGTTACCTCTGATTCTTTTAATTTTGAAAGATTCGGACTGATGTAGAATCTGATGCCCTCGATGGCTCCGGGCAAAGTGATGCCACGAATCAAAAGGATGGTCAGTAACACGTAAGGAAACAGAGAGGTGAAGTAGACTACTTTTCCAGTCCACTTAACACCTTTCCAAATGCAAAAATAACAGAGGATCCATACTAAAAGAAGAGTACCAGCCAATTCCCAACGGATGCTTCCCATGTGTTCAACACCATCGCTGATCTGAAGTGCTCGACGCCTGTAAAATATATTCGTTGCGATCAGAATTGTTCCTTACTATTTCCTTAACCTTGATTTTCACTTACTCCCAAAATTCTTTCACAGGATCGGTGAGCTCCGTGATGGTCATGTTGACGTCGTTGACGGAACACATTTTAACCACGTTGTGACGCCTGGTAACCTCGGTCCAGCATAACAATGAGTCTCTGTCGTAAGGATTCACGCAGTTTTTCGTATTCCAGTAATTGTTGCAGCTACCCCAAGGCAGTTCTGAGGGAAGGAACAGTATCAACACTTTCTGACATTAGTGTAATTAGGTAGGGGCCAGGGTGGGTCTGACCCCTTAAAAAATGTGCATTCTGGCCCACCCTAAAAAATTATCCCAATTACACTGACGCTTTCTAACATTTAACAGCAGAACTTCTTTCTAACATTTACCAACTTTTCAGGTGGTCAAAACTCTCGGCGCTTCAACCCTTGAAGAAGCAAGGTACCATGTTGGAAGAAGTTTCTAATAGACTCGGTTTACATCCGGAAGTCTCAAATAGCGTTAAGTAAAGCAATTTAAATGATGATTGTCTAATTCAATACTCTCATCCTTCTTCGTTTAAGATAACTTACCACTACGCATGGACATGAAGAAGTAGAAGATAGCCCAAGCAAGAATAACAATATAATAAACGTTCATCCAACAGGACATAACTGCAGCTGCATATCCGATACCCTTAAAAAGGGGTGCAATTTTGAAAACCCCAAGGCCGCCAACAGTGAGCATCTGTCCAAGGGCAAGCTCCATAAAAAACATTGGAATTCCAGCTAGTACCAGGGTCAAGAAGTAGGGGATTAAAAAAGCACCACCGCCATTCTTGTAACACAGGTAGGGAAATCTCCAGACGTTTCCCAAGCCGATCGCCAGACCAACCTTCGAATAATTATTCAATTAATATTTCATTAGTATAAGTATAATGAATAGATAAATTACCACGCTTAGAATGAAGTCTAGCTTGGTGCTCCATGTACCACGTTCCGGTAGTGGCTTTTTGTTCGACGAAGGTGTCAGATTCAAAGCGGTTTTGTCCGAATTTTCAGGATCCGCTAGTTCAGGGTCTCTCGATGCCACTGTCATTTTGAATTCCTCTCGTTTGCCGTGTAAAAGTTTCTTCTCTCTCAGCTGTTCCTCCACTTATCGCGGAACTACCGCGAAGACATAACAGTGTTTCTGTTGACAATATCGACAATATCGACACTTGATATAATTTATTCAATTTCGAGAGCACGTCGCAGGCTTTATCTTTCTATCCTCAAGGTCCTCTCTAGGAGGTGATTTGTAGAAAATGAGCTCGACCGAGTTCTTTTTCTTCGGGGCCGGATGCGATTTTGGCTTTGTCGCGTGGAAAATCTGCGGAAAGCTATTACACCTTGAAATTCAAGGATACCAGCTGAATGGAAACTAGATTCTAACATTGAATTTAATGTCGAACTACTTTTTGCTTTGCAATAATAACACTATTTTGAATATCTAATGAATTTCTATGGTGAGATAGCTAAGAATATTCGGCGTGAAAATTGCGAAGGAATAATTAAGACGCAAAACTAATAGGCGATACAGTTAAATACGAATGTCCGGCCGGGGTACCGTGTAATGAATATCCGAGCCCGCGTTCCCCTAAGGCTCATCCTTTCCTGGCCCCTTCGCGGCCGATCTATTGGCTCCCTCTTCCTCTTCCACGCTCATAAAAAACAGCTATATTCTAATTAGCCGAGAATGCGTTGTTCCGCATAATCGACATTGCTATGATCTTGAATTCCTTGCTTTCCTATTAATTAGTCTCTCCCTAAATCCGCAATTTAACCGAATGTTTCTCTCCAAGATAATCAGACATACTAACACGTGTTATCCCTTGCATTTTATTTCCTTTTTATTTTTCATTTTATACAAACCTAACTGTAACCTACTACCAATCCCAGGACACTATCCTAGCTTCTGACCACGATGGTTCCTCCTCAGGGTCGCGCGGGAAATAAGCTGACCTCCAAACTATTTTTTTATCAAAAATCAAGTATGCACTGCACTGCACACCCTTGATCCTTCACGCAGCGGCTCGAATCGACATTTCCATGAATCGTTGAAGATCGAAGGATGACACACTTTGATATATAAATTCAGCGATCAAGAGTTAACGTATGTCCTCTCGATCCTGACGGTTCCGCGTTGCGATCATCGATGACTACCCCCGATCTACATGAACGTTTTCGATTTCTTTCGCTTATTTTCTGTCAACTTTCGACGATCTGTTACGGACCTGTCCCGATCCACGTCCGAGGAGATGCGTATGCTCAGCCGGCCCGTTCGGAACTAGAATCGGGAGTTCGCTTTCGACGTCGAACTAGCTGAAATATCGGGGGTACGAAATCGGGGGATCCCCCTTTTCCTTTTTTTCCCCCGGTCCACCCTTGCCGTTTACATCGGTGTCACGCGTTTATTCCGCGCGAGCTCGCTCACTCGTGCCGCGCGAGGAGCAGGAGGGGACGAGGAAAACAAGGAGAAAGAGGGTCACCAAGATCGCAACAGTATATCATCATCAAGTTGACGGCTATCCCGACGAAGCTGTGCTCTTTATCGTCCATCGTTCCTACACATCTCTGCTCCTCTCTGTTTTCCTTTATCCACCGATGATGATTTTCCAAATCCACGTCTTAATTCGGTGGATCCCTGAATCCTGGCTAATTCGTATGTCTAAGGACGTAGATCTACTCTGTCAGGTCCTACGGTTCGGATCACCGAGCGTAGATCTTACGTCCTTTGGTCCAGTAACTTGTGATCATCATGTCCGACAGAATAATAAGAATTAATTAACTGGAAAGATTAATCTTAGGAATATGCAGAGTTTCATATATTATAATTGACCATGATTTTATTACTCTAGATATCTATTGTTCATATTGCTTCCAATGATAATGTTTGAAAATATTTTTGTTAGGATTCGACATTTACTCCTTAATGATCTTTGTGGCTTTTTGTTAATCAAATTTCTGTACTTTCCGACGAAATGGAAGAGCATGATAAAGTAGGTGAGCAAGACTAGGAAGCTAGTATATCCGGAGGGTTCACGTGACACCGATCTATCGCTACATCCGTTCTGGGTACACTCTGTAATATAGATCATCAGGATGATCGACATTAACTCATACAAATCCCAAAGCAGCTAGTATACGCGCAAACTGCTTCGCGATCTAGGAAATGGAACTCATACCTAAAGAGAGAAAAGGGTTTTCTTTAAAAAGAATCCTTGTAATTAATCTACAAATATGTAGGAGAAAAGTTATTCGTGAAATTTTCATCATTGATAGAGTTAAATAATTCAATAGTAATTTTTAGTCGGATAGAAATGATTCGAATGGTTTTAGGATCGTTGAAATTTTTTCAGGAAACAGGAAACTTACTATATCTAATTTTTATACCTTGCGCCTGAGCGTAGGCGATTTGATTGCTCGTTAACGGTCAGCACGGCAGAGGGGAGCATCCCCAATGACTAGAGGATGTGCGGGAAGTGGCGCGGGAACCGCATTAAGAATTACTTTGCGGGTCAAATCTTTTTTTACGAGTCAAGCTACCTTTGATTTGGGGGGAATTACTTAAAATCCTTTTATTCCGTGTCATGTCCTATAAGAAACTGATACCCTAATCGTAATTCGATTAAATTCCTTCCTTTCTAACTTAGTTATCAATAATACAAACAAAGGTTTATTAAAGTATCCTGTAAAAGAGCAATATTTATTAATTTTTCATACAAATAAAGAAACTCTGATTTTAATTATGATTCTATCGTTTCTTCTTACAGTAATTGATGTTTATTTTTTATAAATACTGTACTATTAAAATAGTAGAGACATAAAAACATCATACAAAATTTTATGAAGCAAATATTTTTTTACAAAATAAAACAATATAATATATTTGTAAAGGCAAGATTATGTTTGAAATAGATATTATATGAAATTATTGTCATTATCTTTGTAAGAAAGAATTGTGACAAACTGAAAGGTTCATCTATAAATTTTGAAACACTGCTACTTGTTAGCTGCTACTAAGTTCCAATGTTTTTTAAATAATTAGTTGTAGAATATTATGTGTAATTGGAATCATTGAAATTTAATAGATGGCACTGAGGTTTGTTTCCCTAAAATATTGATTTGTAAAGGTTGGCATTAGTATTGTATTAAATTTGGTAAGCTTGTGAAACACTGTCACCAAAGAGTAGGTATTTAGGTTTAGGTATATCTCCTCTTTGATGTCACCGCGTGAACAGAACATTTTCTAACCTAAAGAATTAATATTTTGGAAATTAACCAAATAATTTACTTTATTTATTATTGAGGAAATAATAATTTCTTTAGCACAATGGCTGAAGCAATGCGTCAAACCGTAGCTGGAATGTTAAAAGGCATTGAAAGGTACAGATGACAAACATGTAACCAAACTAAAACTTTTTACATTATTTAATTAACATACATTTTTTTACAGATATAATCCAGATCATTTAGCTACTCTTGAAAAATACGTTGAAATACAGTCAAGGGAAAATGCATATGATTTAGAAGCAAATTTAGCAGTTTTAAAGCTGTATCAATTAAATCCACATAGGTTTAACATGGATATTACATGTCAGATACTGCTAAAGGCTCTAACAAATCTTCCACACACTGATTTTGTTTTATGTAAATGCCTCCTGAATGAAAGAATTGCAAGTCACTTATTTATTAAACTACTTTTTACAATTTTATTATTGCTATTAGCAATATTAATGTATGAATTACATATTACTTTTGCAGATGCTAGAAACTCCAATTAGTCACATTATGTACTTAGGAGATATTTTAGAACAGTGTGATTTTCAACATGCATGGAACAAAATCCGTGCTATGTCTGATGTTTGTGACAGAATTGTAGGATTTCAAGATTCAATAAGGAAATTTGTTTGTCATGTAGTAGGAATTACTTTTCAAACAATAGATAAAGGCCTCTTAGCACAACTTCTTGGTGGTGTTGATGGTAATTAACAAAATACTTATATTGAAATTAAGTAGATATGTTAAAGGTGGTTCAACAAATAATTTACAAATTAAATTTATTTTATAATTATCTATATTTTTTAATAGGTACTTATTAAGCATTACAAACATAGACTTAGTAATTAATTGATTTATTTTAGATACTACCTTAAAACATTGGGTAAAAAAATATGGATGGAAAGAAGAAGGTAAATCCATTATTTTTATTGCCAATCAAGATGAAAATATAAAAACAAAAAATATTACAGAGAAAATTGATTTTGAGAATGTTGCTGGTTTAATGGCTGCTTGTCTTTAAACCTTGTATAAAACTTATCTCATCTTCAATAATCTTTTTATATAAACAAAATAAAAAACTTAAATTATTTCAGTTCTATCATTTTAAATAAAATATTTTGATTCCGTGAATTTTACTCCTTTCCTATGATATAGAAAATCTTCGTATATATTAATTTGATAACATATAAATACCGCAAAAAACAATAACACGATATACATATATATAACGTAATAACAACATAACACTTAAAATTGTGTATTTTACATAATTTTAATACAAATAAATTATACTAATGCCTTTAAAAATTATTAAAGATTAGTATTCAATTCTAAACATTGAAATTTTTCGAATGTTTTAAACGTTATGAAATTAGATGGAAGATATATTGAACAATTTTTTATACATACACATTCTTACAAGTTTTACTAAGATTTAATTAAATATACGTTCAGTAATATTACATTCTATACAATTGCTAATATTTGATTCAATTGTATGAGTATTAAGTGAAAGCACATTTAAACTGAAAGAACTTAATTTAATGGAATGATCTATCCAAGTAACAAACGACATATTAATTCTTTACCTTACATTATATGAATTTTATATATTGCAATTCAATGGTAATAATATGAAACTTATATTAATTTGCACTTCAAGATAATGTTTCTTACATTACTTTTCTTTTTGTACTTAAATAATTTATAAGAAAAATATGGTCTTATCAAAAAACTTAAAAAAAATGCTAGAAACAGTCCAGTTTTAAATAAGAAAAAAATATAATTATCTTATAATATTACGGGCGATATTTGTTACATATATAAATATCTTGCTTTCCAAAACCTTATACCAAAAAGTAATTTTTTAATTCTTTATGACAAATAGTCATGATAGAAGCATTTGTTTTTTAAAATATAATAGTATACAATAACTTATGCATTTAAACCTCATGATCAATTAGGTATGCATCTCTCCTGAAAGTATACCTTGGTGCATTTTGGCAAGGAAGCATCCACAGAACTGGATGACTTTTACCAAAAACTTGAGAAAGTAATATCAAGGTACGTGAACTATTTCTTTTATAGTGATGATTATTTTGCACACGTTCCACTGTATTTTCTTCTCCCAGGATTCCTTGAAATTGATCTACCAGTATCGCAACGACAAACATGCCAAAGAGTGCTGATTCCAAAACCAATATAACACAGTGTAAGCTGCAGAAAAAACTTCTTGATTAATCTCTTTTTGTAGAAGGAAATTTTCGAATCCACATCAAAATAACTTTTTTTTTAAATTGATATAAAGTGCACATACATGCGACTTTGTTTAACAGCAATATCATTACTGCATTGGGAACATTCTACAATCCATGATGTTATCACCAAACCTAGTGCATAAATGGCCAATATTCCAACATACACCAGAAATTGGATAAAGTACTTTTGATTTCTTTCTCCAACACAGTTGTTTATCCTTTCAGCAGCATTATAAAGAAACTTATTGTTAAAAACAGTATACCAAAACACAATATACAAAGAGATATAAGAAGACTAGTTTGTATAAAATTTATAAAACATTCTTAATGAGAGGATATAATGAGATACAGTGAATGTAAGAAATGATTTTTACATATAACATAAGAATTTCATATTGCATAGAATATGTTAAAATTTAAAAACTGTGTTTTATTAAACTAAAAATAAATCACAAAGACTAGAAATCAAAAAAGGCTAAAATAAATCAAAATTGATTATTAATACAACCATAAGAATATGAATGATAGTTTAATTTGATGAAATTACAAAAGTGGAAACATTACTTATATGCCTATAAATTATAGCATACCATGGACAATGATGATCCATTCTCCTAACACATCTTTTACAAATTCTACAATGATGTGCTTTAGGTGGTCTATAGGTTTCACATCCGGTACAAACAGTCCAATTGTCTCTCTCATCACATTCAATTTTTGTTTCTGGATTATCTGTATAAATATCAGAAAAATCCATACGGCTCTGTGGTAGTGGCACAACACCAGGATCACTGCAGACTGCCTTCAAATGTGACATTATCAATAATAATACTACAGTATTGAAAGCCACTACATGAAATGGACCCCATAAACTGTACACAATAATATATAAAATAATATTAATTATTAACCATTATATAAATATTGCAAATATGTTTTCTTGAGTTGTGTCTCTTTATTCACAGTAAAAGTGCAATAATGAAGACTAAAACATTCCATTAAAGGTATAAGTGTGTATATAATATGTAAAAGCTATTTAAAAATTGAAATACACTGATTCATAGTGTTATGATTATAAATTTATACATAATAAATGTCGTACAAAGTAAATAGAAAACTACAAACAAACATGAGCATAGATACAAAAAGTTGTTAAATGCACCTGTCTTGTAAACTATGCAAGATAACCCAGCGTACAACGACGTAATCCGCATAAAAGACAGCGATGTACGTAACTATGATACACACGATGCCACAGGGGTCTTTTACGAACATTTTCTTTTATTCCATACTCTTCACTGAAAAAGATATCACCTATCATCACAAAGCTGAACAATTTCATGTGATTTCGTTCTTCGTTAAATTTACATGATACAAATATGATTCAATTTTTATGAATTCCATTTAAATTCATATCTTTTGATTCTATGATTGCACTGAAACACCAAATTAGTGTATGTTTATAAGAGAAGATTCGATTATTTCGCTAAATAATATAATATTGACGTTAATGTCAAAATTTCCAACCAATACTGGTTGCCATTGACTAGCCTAAGCTGACGGCCATCAGCCATCATATTACTGTCGTTGAATACCACGTGACACTCCCTACTACACGCTGTTTACAATTGAAATTTCATTATATTCTATCAGAAAAATGATAAGCATAATAATTAAGCGCCCTTATTGATATAAGTTTTCAACTGAAATACTATATCATCTTATCATTTAACGTAAAGTGTAATAGTACCTTCTAGGTAAATGGTATAAACGTGTTAAGAGATTAACATTAACTTCAAAAAGGAATATTTTTCTGCTTTTGATGCTATTTGTTTTAATGGATATCAGGTGGAAATATATCAATCATCTTTGTAAATATACAATAATACATAATTAAACGAAAACTTTATTTACAGAACTACTCGCAAATAAAAGTAATAGCGATAATAATTAATAATAATAATATTAATAATAATAATAATTAATAATAATCGAATCATTACGAATCGATCAACGATAACTATAACAAGAGAAAGAAAGGGAGAGTAAAGACTGAAAGAGAGGAAGAAAATAATGGTAAATTGGCTACATTAGTGACTGTGATGGTGTAACAGTAGCAACAGCAGCTGAATAGACTTCAATAGTAGTAGTTAACGATAGCTGTAGCAATAACTTGTATTTTGGACTTAATTCTCATGTACAGATTTAAGTTCTTTTATCTGCTTAATAAGGTACGCCTTCTCGTCGTTGAACTGTTCGTCTTCGAAACGATCAGTATGGAAGCGCGTTAGGAATTCAATTAATTTTTCCTGATTGCGCAATAATATATCTAAGATCGGTTTTGGTTTATTTGGATTTGCCACAAATACCTAAAAAATGATAAACATAACATAACATTTGCTGTGAAAATCAAAATTTTAATCTAAATGATAAAATTTACCTTAAAAACATGAAACGCCTCGAATTGTATATTACGCGATTTTTCTTTGAGCATGTTCATCATCAATTTTAAATTATCTGGATTCGAAATATATCGTGTCATTACCTGAAATTTAGAAATTGTTAAATTAGCATGTTTTAGAAATATATATGTATTTATTTAGATATGCATATATTTCTAAAGGAGTGTTAAAAGTTTATACATACGGTAAAATTATGTCTATCGAGTAAAAGCTCCCCTAGCAGTTTCAAACTCTGTCGTCGCGTAACATAGTTTTCAGAATTCAATAACCTTTGATAATGAGAGAAAACTTTATCGTAATTAATTTCTAAAAACTCAGCGCTCAGTATTTTATGCCTGGTAAGTAATTCCTAAAAACCAACGTACCGAATGCACCAAGAGTATGGTTTACTTTAAGAACGATATATCATGCGCTTATCATCGCTTACTTTGAACGTAGAAAACGCGTCGGAAGCTATGTCGAATGTTGATACTTCAACATATCTGAAAAAATTGTAAAAGTCGTCCGAGTAAATCATTATTTTTGCCAAGGCCTCGTATCTTGCACATTCTCTTAACATAGTGCCACAATTTAAAGCAATGTCTTGGTGTTCATACCTGTAATTAGGTACAATAGATTAAAAATTGTAGTATGTTAACACTTTTAGTTGAAAATATTCTAGTGTTAACAAATGGTTATAGAAAAGCAGAATAAGTAACACAACACAACAATTAAGAAACTCACCCAGACATAAGAGTAAATAATATTTCTGGCTTAGTACATATATATTCTACTGTTGGAGATCTAGTTCCAATTTGTCTTCGTAATATATTATTAAATACTTGAGCGACATCTTTCTTTCCCTATTAACAAATAGCAAGCACATTTTTAAAGAGGTCAAAAATTAATATAAAATTAGTATGTTAATAATTTGGATATATTCATTATTTTGACTACCACTGAAATAGATTATTATAAATTAAATGTTTTACTGTTATATAAATATTTGTACATACTTGTGTTGTTGTACTACTGCTAATGAAAAACTGTTGAAGATAATTTATTATAGTATTCTGAATTAATATCTTGAAACATACCTCAAAATCTATGCGACTAAGATTTTGCACAAGTAGAAGCAACAAATTACTATTATACAATTCTTGTGCCAATTGGGCAACAACAATGTCTGCTTGAGGCTCTGTTTCAGCTGTACCATATAGCATATTTTTTATATGTACCAAATTTTTACTGACATCCTCTTGAGCCTAAAAATCAATGTATTGCATCATAGAAACCAAAATTGGGTTGGACAACATACCTTTTGTACCTTCTTATCACCAAGCTCCAATGCATTTACTGCTTCCTTAAGAGCTTTTACCACCTCCGCCGGACTCTTTTGAGACTTTCCGAACAGAGGCATGTTTTTCACAATTTACAGACCTTGTAGAATATATGGAAACAATGAAAAATAAGTTAGATTTATTTGTTATTCAATACAAGTATTTACAAACATGTAAACTATATATGACAAATTTCACAAATTATTATATATATATAACAAAAAGAATTTAATAAGTTTATTTAACATTTTTTTTTAGATATATTTAACAAAATTAAATTAAATTAATAGATAAGAAATAAACAAAAAGTTACACTAAATCTAGAAATGATGATTTAATTCATAATGACATGTACTTCAAACTTCGAATTAACCATTATTTTTAAAACTTTCTATATTTAAAACATCTAATAGGTTTATTATTGAATATATGTTGAAATGTTTCATATATTAAAGGTCTGCAGTCGATGATGCTAATAAGTTCCTTCAGGTTATATCTGTAGATGTAAATGTCAAATTTGTTGCAGCCTACGACCTACTATCATCAAACATGATTTTATATATATATTAATTAGCATTTGCTCTTTTTATTTCCTTAGAAAGTACATATTTAATTTAACCTAAAAATTATACATCTCGAACAGTTATAATTGGAAGATTGAAAAATGGTAAGAAGAAATAAATGAATCGAGCAATACTGTGAGAAATATGCCGAATGAAATAGTTGCAACAAAAATGGAGGTCGTATATCAAGTTGATCAACGATATAATGACGATAAAGAGATTCAGGTGAAAAGAAAAAAAAAAGAAATCAACAATGCGACATGATTCATACGTTTTTATCGAGAAAATAAATAATACAAGATAAAAATTCAACGAATTAAAGAAACAAGAAGAAGTCAAGTTGCGACTTGCAACGATGCGAGTTCGTCGAACAAGATAGTAAACGTTTAACCTGTGCCTTTCAATCACCTCGCGAGCCTTAAAATAATCTTACCATTCAGTCAGACCCTGAACGAACCCTCAGCCTCGGTTCGAAGTATCCTATGCTATTCTTTTAAAAGCGCACATATAAGGCAACTACTTTTCAATTCAGTAATACGTATTAAAAACACAATTTATACAATTATGACACTTCTATCAATAACGGATACCAATTCTACGCAATGCGATATAGCTTTTTTTAATGAACGCTAGCAATAAATTATTTATCTTTAAAAACTTTTGACTAATTGTACGATTCTGTGACGTCTCTTATCAAAATTCTTTCACGACTAATACTGAATCTGCAAAAACATTATTGGTCTTGACTATCTAGAAACTTTTCCTTCAACCAATTGGAATAGGTTGAAAATAAAATCGCGTTTCAATTCGCTTAATTAAAATGTTATTCCTGCCATTTGAACGAAGTAATTTTTATATTTTTCTTTCTTTATATTCAAATTTAATTGATTTCTTTTGAAAAGCTAAGTCAATTAAGTACATACGTTGAAATTCAAAATGATCTTGTCTAATATTATTTTGAACTACTTTGTTATTTCGAATGCCTAAAAACATCAAGAATATCCTTCGGGTTACTGTGCATCCGATATATCATATATTGAATTATGGCGCGAAAACATCAACATGTTCGATAATACTCATTTTATATAAATCACGAAAAGTTTCATTGATTTCAATACGGAATAAACCTTAATTTGAATTTAAGAAACAGATTATTCATTTTCGATTAAAAACTTAACGTCAAGTTGAGGTTTTCTCTTCAAATTTGCTAAAAAAAAATTGTTATTTGGGAATATCTTATATTGTCATAGGAACCATATTGAAATTAGAAGAGAATACGACATTTAAATTAAATTCACGTGTTGTCTATTCATTATTATGTTAATGGATTTGAAAGTTATTTAAGACGCAGTATTCGTTTTTTATTCGTTTTCTTTTAAAAGCAAATTTATTATTGGATAAAATTCGGGTAAGTTTTACCAACTCCGAATAAAAGTCCCGATAACAATCTTCATCGTTTTGATTACTAGAGACAGGTTTTTCGTGCAGATACTGTGCCCATAAACGTGGAACAGGAGGAGCCACGTGACTGAAAAAGTAACCAATCAGCTGTTTAACTTTGTCGTGCCGCCAAGCTCGTCTCTATTCTGTACTGTGCACGCGGAAGCTAGATTTTCGTGCGATATTTTTGCTTGCAGACAAGCATTCTAAGGAAATGCTTGATTTAGTAGGATAAAGAAATAGCTAACTTTTACTTTCGTGCGTCAAACAAAACATTGTATAATCCGTATATCGTTGAATTCTGATCTTAAATGGTTCTATATCATAGTCGCCATTTTGGTGATAGACCGAGCCAAGATTAGCGAGTGTACCTATGATCTTTTTATTTTCACTCGGCATTCGGTCGATCGTCGTGATCGTCAGTGACGCCGGGACGGAATTCTAACCTCGAGGATGACGCAACAAAACAAAACGATGAACTTTCTCATACATGACGCGAATGGTGAGTATGCCGAGTGCGCGCCAATTATCAGCATGCCTCACTTCGAAGATACTCTCAATTTTCTTCAGATTCCATCGAAATCGCTTAGTTCCACTATTGTTATTGCTTTCCTCGACTCCAGCTCATTTTCCTCTTACTTTTTATACGATTCCCTTCAATTGTAAGTTCCTATTAACTCCTTTCTTTCCTTATATTCATTTTGCTTTTGTATCGTGTTTTTCTAGAATAAATATCTATATTGCATTGAAGTAGATAAGTTTTTATTTCCCCCCCTATTATAAGATGAATGAATCTAACTTCTTTTGAAGTTATTCTGATGTATTTCCCTTGGGAAAGTTACATACTTGCTTCTCTTGGTTGTTCAGTCGAATGGGTTACTCTGACTTCCTAATGTTTTCATTTAAATATAGAGACCCTATTTGAACTGATATTTGAGTTTAGCTAAATTACAAGAATTCAAGAAGGTCAATACATTTAATATATTAATGTTTAATATAATTTCAATGATATATAAGTACATATGTATATTTCATTAGTGAATCAGTTTTATAATGATAAGAGGAGTGATTTAAAAATCTTTCATAATGTAAGAATTAGTTTTGGTTGATTTGTAGTTATTACTCATACCTTGTTAAAATTGATTAAATATTTTGATAAAACTAATGTATTTTTTATTTCCTACTTTGCCAAACTTATTTTTCTTTAATTATTCATAAAATACTAGCAAATTTGCAATTGTTTTAGGTCATCCACAAGTAATAAAGGTAGTGCAAAGTACAGCCAATAAGGCATTGGGAGGTATTGTCAGTACAACAAATGCAGGTGGCCTTAAGGTCTTTAAGACTCCGAGCCAAGAATCTCAGGTAAAGTAAAATAGTTACAGATATAATTTCATATGTTAACAATAAATTTAATAATGTAACTTTATTTTCTTTAGGTTTTGTCATCTAACGCACAAGTTCTTAAAACTATCAGTTTGCAGAGTCCTTCAACTCCTGGCCAAAGTGAGTAACTTAAGTTCCTCTTTTTATATATGGTTATTGTATATTTAATTTTGTAAATGTTTCTTGTACCAATGTAGTCTCTTATCAGCAATTGCTTGAAATGTAATCTATGTGTACATTTTTACTTTTTTGTTATTATCCTAGGATTGGTTACAATACCATTACAGAATACAAAGTTAGCAACAACAAAAGCTGGTGAACCTGTATTGACTAAGACTATACAGTTAACATCTGCACAAATGGTAAAGCTTGTATGAACAACTTTTTTCTTTAGTTATATATGATGAAAATTAAACATTATTACATTGTTTGCTTCTTTTGTTCTTTCTTCTCAGAGCGATATAAAACAGGCAATAGTGTCTCAACAACAACAGCAACAGCAACAACAATCTGGTAATCAACAACTGGTGAAAGATGCAAGTGGAAAAACATATATCAGTCCAATATTAGATCACAGTGGTTCTAGGAAAAGACAGGATGTCGAGGGCGGCGATTTTGTACCAGAGTAAATAACCTATCTCATTTTTATGCTTATATCGAATATTTTTTTTTTTTTTCGTTTATTACAATGTATAAGCAATGTTTGGTATTTCTAACCTGTTAGTTACATGTTTGTAAAAACTTTTGAATAAGTCACAAATTTTGATTTATTTATAGTAAACGAAGAAAAACAGAGAAAGTAGGTAAGGGATTACGTCATTTTTCAATGAAAGTTTGCGAAAAAGTTAAAAAGAAGGGAACTACGTCGTACAACGAAGTTGCAGATGAGCTTGTTGGAGAATTCACTAATCCTGCTCATATAAATTCTTTAACAGATCAGGTATATTTCTCCTCCTATTTATCTTATTTTTTTGAACAATACATAAATAAACATGAATAATATTTTTTGCTTATAGCAATATGATCAAAAAAACATTAGAAGACGCGTTTACGATGCTCTGAATGTTTTAATGGCGATGAATATTATTTCAAAAGAGAAAAAGGAAATTAGGTGGTTAGGTTTGCCAACTAATTCTCTTCAGGAATGTTTGGCACTTGAAAAAGATAAAAAGAAAAAGATCGAGAGAATCAAAGCGAAAACGCAACAATTACATCAATTGATTCTCTCGCATATCTCTTTTAAAAATCTGGTGGAACGTAATCGTGTCAATGAGAGTCTGCGTGGCCCACCAAAACCAAATTCTGCCATACAGCTGCCATTCCTGATTGTGAATACTAGCAAAAAGACTGTAATAGATTGCAGCATTTCGAATGACAAGTATGATACTAAATAACTTCTATTTTTATTAATATTTTAATTTGAGATAACAATAATGTAACTTGTTTATTTTAGAACCGAGTACCTGTTCAATTTTAACGATAAGTTCGAAATTCATGACGATATTGAAGTTTTAAAACAAATGGGTTTAGCTTTCGGTAAACGATTTGTTAGCTATTATCTAATTCATCTCTGATATCGATTAACTAATCAGAAATAATTATTTCTAATTAGGTTTAGAAAAAGGTGAATGCACTGAGGAAAATTTGCGAAAAGCTAAATTAATGGTTCCAAAATCTCTGGAAAAATATGTGGAACGTGCGTATTATTGATAAATTATGTTTAGATATTTAATCATTTTTTTAAACATACTTTTTATTGTTTTGTACTAGAACTAGCATCCGGTGATTTGGAAAAATTCATCCCAGTGACCATTCCTGGACCAAGTACTTCGATGGAAGACCTGGACATAAAATTAGAAGGCTCTCGACCACCTTCATCTTCTCACACTTCACTTTCGGAAGATGTTTTATCGCCACCCTCGCAGTATTATTCCGAGGAAGAGGATGAAGAGGAAGAAAGTGACCAGGATGACCAAGCCGATAGTGATCTCGAAGTTAACTAGCACTCCGAACGATTTTCTCGGGGCTGGACTCAGGGTAATTTTATAGAAGTTGATTATTGTCAAGTGTCGAGTGAAAGAAGACGATAATACTGTTTATTTTAGGATACTCGTCACTGTTAGCAGCGTACTCGACATGGTCGTCATCGATATCGCTCTTAAGAACATCATTCTCGTACGCAATCATGATGCGGACGAGTACCGGTAACCGAGGATCTAGTGAAAATAGAACCTCGTTACCACCGTTGATAAAAGTCTGTTAATGTGAAATGAGGATGGTCAAAAAGTGAATAAAATGTCGATTGGGGCCAAGGAGAAACACACACACACAAAAAAAAGCAAGAAACAAATCGCGTAGGGATAAAACTCAAAAAAAGCTTCAGAACGTCTCGTCTAAAAAAGGAGACTATCGATGTATGACGATCGACAGGATCCATGATTATGCGGCGCGACTGAAACCCGGGGGTGCTATTTTAATTGTGCATCATCTTAACAGGTTTATATGACTAGCATCTATGTATTGTAAATTATAATCTTTGCAATGATATCGATATTAATGTGTACGAGACATTATGACCAGTACTCATTTTCTTATGGCACGTTTATAATTAATATCGCCCAAACTAATATACCAAGGATAAATGGTATTCTGGATATGGGCGCACGTCTGATTCAATTTCGAAACTAAAAATAATAAATTGTAATAATGTTAACGTATTGTGTATATCAATTTCTTTTCCTTGATATGTTTAGTAACTTGTTTTAGGTTTCAGTTGTAATAAAATATGAGTACATAATTATAATATTAAATATTCTTTTAATTTTTTTATAGGTATTTGTATGGATATATATATATATATATATATTAATATTAATTCAAACTGTGTTACTGTTATCATTTTAAATAAAAGATGATGGATTAATACTGGCGACTTATACAGGTTAATATAATTAATATGTTCTATTATTATTACTTATTACAAGTTGATAATGGGAAATACATTCTAAGTATGATAGTGTTACTGATGATGTAATAATTTATATCACTTTATTCCAGGTCATCATCATCATATAAGTCATCAAAATCTAAAAGCAGACATAATTATTACTCATAAACTTTATATTATTAGTAATAATTTATAGGTACATGCAAATCAAATACCATTGAAAAAATCTGCATGTACTGCTTTTTCACTTGCAGTAAGATCAACTAATAAGCGACTGCCACCAACCTGAAATAAATTGTTTCATTAATTATTTAACAAATAAAATCAAGTCAACTGTCAGTGAAAGATGTATAACCTTAATAACCATAACCTTAATAACAATAACACAATTACCTCCTCCAATTCAATGTAAGAACCAGCACCATCAGGAAACATTTCATCAGCTACAAGGGTAGGCTTCATTTTCCTAAAATTGTAATTAAATGAACAATTTATAAATATTTTATATGAATGTTTTTGTTTTGACAGAATACAATATTGCATAAGTTCTTATAACGTAGAGTGTGTAAGAAAACAGCTGGTAAAAATATGCAGACCTAATTTCAGCTAGGGGTGTCTGGGATCCCCAAAATCATGATCCCTGGAGAACAAAGGCATGTCTAATCTTTTTGTATCTGTGGTCAATGATTTAATGATAATGATTCATTTCAGATGGCGTACATGATTATTTTTTGCACCTGGCACCTGAAAGTTTTCCACTCAAAGGAATAGATTGTATGTGATTGACATAAAATAAACGAAAAAGAGTAATGAGACGACGTAATAAACTGCAATTGTGACGATTGATTATATTTACCATTTGATATGAGCAAAATGTAATGGATCTCTAACTGCTTAACAATAATTTAATGGAAAACAATGAGTGGAAGATAATTTTAACCTTCTAATCAGAAGCAGTGTGACACTTTGTTAGATTGTTAGTTAATCATGGGGGTTGCTTAAACGTACAACAAATACTTACAAATAATGTACACAATGATAAATTTGTTTATAATAATGGACGATAAATATTATTTCATGGGATGAGTTCTTCTCCTATTTCGGTCTCTCTCTGCGTTATTCGCGTCGAGATTGTTGATGAAAATTCTGAAGAATCGAATGGTAAATATTTAGTTACTGTTTTCTATTAGAGCCATCACTTTCAGCTGTTTTTTAAATAACGTCTTATTTATTCCCATAACAGATTGTTTTGATTAATCATTATGTTTACAAACTTCTCAAAGGTTATGTTAGTGTCACAACAATGTTATATTTACATAATTATATTTTTAATAGTAGTAATGATAATTTTTAAACCTGTACGTTGTCTATAAACGAAACATGTAACAAAATAAATTTTTCCAGTATACATGTTTCTGTTTTTTAATTTTATATAATTAAGTAAATGTAAACATTACATGATATTACCTTTGTAAATTTCAATGTTAAGTCATAGTGTTTAGATCTGTAGTTTGTATTTCAGTTATATTATTACATCCTTAAAGTCAGTTAATGAATTTCTCATTTTTAAAAGATGTATTACTTTTGTTTGATGTATGAAATTTGCTATTATAGTTATTAACAGTGCAAAGAAGATCATTACTTGTTTGTATCATGATTAATTCACAGTGGATTTCGTAATCCAGGAGCAATGGCTGCCAAGATGAGGGGTCGCAGAGAACCAACCAAGATAAATATGGAGAATCTTACTGAGAAGGGAGATTTATCACTTCCTTCTCAAGGAACTAGTAAGTCTGGCTCTAATTCAAGAGCCAATTCAGAAGAAAATACTTATGATGATACAGAAATGGCTGGTGCAAGTGCTTGTGCATGTGATCAAATAAATTTCATCTCTGGAAATCCATTTGTTGAAGTAACCAAAGGAATTATACATTTGTATAAGGAAAAGTATGCAGATTTATTTCATCACATCATTATGAAATACAGTTCTAAATGTAGTTGATAATTTTTTTCAGCAAATTAACAGATATACATCATGCAGCAGAACGTACCCAAACCATCTGCATCCTATCAGTCCCAGCTACAATGACTTGTCATGATCTTTTAAGGTTTACAGCACCTTGCCATCAAGATGTACGACATTTTAGGATACTTAGAGATGGAAGTCCTAATCAGTATATGGCACTAATTACCTTTAAATCTGCTGTAATTATATTGGATTGTTTTTTCAAATACAGGAAAATTTCAATGCACTGTTTCTCGCGTAATCGTTTATTTTTTCACTTTTTCTAGAGTGCAGCAACAGAGTTTTATGGTTCTTTCAATGGTACTCCATACAATTCTTTTGAACCAGATGTTATATGTCATATGGTATTCGTGTATAGCGTAGAAGTAACATACAATGCTATGCCTTTGTCTGGGCATACAGAGTTACCACTTTGCCCAGTTTGCTTGGAGAGAATGGACGAAAGTGTTGATGGGATTTTAACAATTTTGTGTAATCATACCTTCCATGCAAGTTGTTTAGCTAAATGGGGGGACACCTCTTGTCCAGTTTGTAGATATGCTCAGACTCCAGAATCATTTGCAGATAGCTATTGTATGGAATGTAGTACGTAAAAAACAAATGCTTTAGGTTTTACTTAAAAAGGTGGTGTAATAGGAATAGAAAATAAAAATGAAAATATCTTTTAGATACCGGAGAGAGTAATGATGCTCTATGGATCTGTTTGATATGTGGACACATAGGTTGCTCGCGATATCATCAAGGACACGCTTTCCAACATTACCGCGAAACACACCATTGTTACGCTATGCAATTAGGCAACAATAGAGTGTGGGATTATGTCGGAGATAATTTTGTTCATCGATTATTACAAAATAAAGATGGAAAAATGGTTGAAGGTGGTCCTACAGCAACCAAGGCGGAAGGTGCTGCAATGGAGGAAAAAGTAGATTCCGTGCAGCTCGAATTCACTTATCTCTTAACGTCGCAATTAGAAACTCAAAGACAGTACTTTGAAGAAAGATTATCACGATTAGAACAGCATTCTGTTTTACAAACTACAGAGCTCAGAGAAAAGTTAGGTCAAGTGTCGGAAGAAAGCGCCAAAGTTAAGGTGAATTAATATGCTTTAGTTTGTTTTAATAATTATGTATTTAATATTAAAACCAATTATATTGTATCGTAGGAACAATTAGCCTCGTTAACTCGAGAGAAACAGAATGTAGATAAACGATTACAACAAGTTAGTAATAAATTAGTACAAGTACAGGCGGAACTGACTGAAGAAAAAGAGTTAAGGAAAGCATTAGAATTAAATCAGGCCACTTGGCAAGATAAGTATAAAACGTTACAAAATGAAATGACCGAATATAAAGAAGCAAAACAAGCAGAGGTTGCAGATTTAAAGGATCAGGTACAGGATTTAATGTTTTACCTTGATGCTCAAAAGAAAGTTGAGGATTCGGAACTGAGAGATGAAATCGCATCAGGTCGTATAATGATCCCAGAAACTTCCAATCCTGCTAAGAAGAATACTCGACCTTCTAAGTCACGTAAAAAACGTTGATATTATTTGCTAATATTCTACACAATTATTTTTGAATTGCTCTTAAGAATTAAACTGATTTTGTATCACGTTTTTAATTATGTCAAATAAACAATTTTCTTACTGATTTTAAACAGCAGGCACTTTGAGGGATGGCGCAAAAAAAAAAAAAAAAAAAATATCACCCAGTAATGTGAACAGCTTAAATTTATAATTTTCAGAAGTATTTTGTGAGTAATGAATTAAATAATAATCGTACTGTATATATAAATTTAAATAAACTTCATTTACTTAAAATTAATCGCTAATCAGCATATTGTGTAATAAAAAATAAATTTTTCATTTTCTTTTAATAATGAAATTTAGCAGACGCTTACATTTAAACGTATGAAGATTATTTTATAAATATAATATTAAAGTAGTTTAATCTTTATAAAATTTTTTTCAACATTTTTACACTTGGTTTTTTTTTGCATAAATATGATTATTTTACATTGACAAACAAGGATTAAACACGGTATTGGTACTAATAATAAAAATGCAAAGAAAAACTTATTTAAAAAAGTACCTCAATACATAATTTTTATTAAGGTATACACATGTTGCTGATTTATAGTTTCTTTTTATGATAATAATTATCCTATTTTTATTCTCATAAGAGTACGAGTTTGCTTTTAGACAATTATTAGTTGCCAACACAATTCGTTGGCCCAGTTATAAAATAAAACTGATATACATATTTACATTATCTACAATCGCATTCAGTTAGAATGCACGTGTTTAACTAAACGATTGCACGTTTGGACGTCGATGTTGGTCATGCATATATGTATGTAAATAAGTTTTACTTGATCGTTGACATTATTAAAAACTATTATATATTTAAATACAACGAAGCACAGTTTCTTTTCTGCATACGAACAAAAACAAACAGATAATAGATTATGAATTCTAAAAAAATAATTCGTCAAATAATTATTAACAAATAGAAACTCCATATATTATACGGAAACAGCATAATCTTTTAAAATGTTGCATGCAGTTTTGTTTAAATTTGAAATAACGTTTTACAGAAACTTAATTTCACAACAACAACGGATCCTTTAATACAGTACAACGAAATTTGAATACGTGTAGTAGTTCAGCGCTCCACTATTTTCATATTGCTCTCTTACAAAATTAAATGACAATGAATTGTCAAATATCTCAATACAAAACAACCAACTGTTAAGATATTTGCCATAGTATTATCATACCAAACATACTGGTAAATATATTTTCTGAAACTTTGCACTAGTTCCTTTATATTCACAAATTTTTCTTATTACTTTAGATATATATTTAATATATCAAGGTTCACTGTTATTAGAGAGCAATATGAGGAACCAACATCGATCAGTCTTGGAATTACGATTAGAGATAAAAATTATGATATTTTGCAAAATATATAAATATAAAAGAATAATAACTAAGATCCGTAACTACCTTGTGATAATTAATAACGCTAATTATCAATAGGGCCATATGCGTTATAAACTTAACGCAGATACAATATGGGCCTTCTTATCCTTTCTCACATTCAATGCCAATGCATAAAATCACAATATGCATGCTTCGTGTAAAATAGTTATTGTAAAAAAATTTCGTACAATAATCAACACATAAAAAGTGCTTAATGATTCCATAATATTGATCAGTTAGTTATTATTACCTAATAGTTAATTAGTGTAAGTTGGCAAAAGCATTTCATCTTATAGTCTTCCTTTTATGGAAATTACTCAAATCTCCAGACAACATGTATCAGTTAATATTCATTAAAAATTTCTTATTATCTTAAGTAGTTACAGTCTCGAGTCATTGTATTTAGCAGACTATATGACGAAAATTTTCGAAGTGCTACACATAATGCACAATGCATAGTACATAATGTAAAATCGTCTTTTTCTTGCAGGATAAGACAAATTAAACCTTTTACATTTGATAATACCGCTAGTTAATACTAGCAGGATAAATTCAAGTTTAAAATGTCTATGTTAAAGTATGTAATAAACAAGAATAAAAACGAACGAGATTTAAACAAAACTATGTAAGGTCATAAACAAATATTACATTTGTTTCGGTCACGTTTTGTTTTGTGCTCAATTAGTTTCTACTATCAATAGATAAAGAAATAAAAGATAAAAGAATACGTTTAAAATATTGTAATTCATTATTTGTAAAACAATATTAAATATTGACTAAATAGATTGGAAATCTCGTTCGTCCTTTAATTTTCGGTATTTACAGGTTCGCGTGCATGATGAATTCTGACATGTTTATTGTGATTGGATTTCGTACCACTAGATTTTCCGCAAATATGACATGTATATGGTCTGGCACCTGAATGTACTCGCAAGTGTTCTTTTAGATAATATGATCTATGAAACGTTTTGTTGCAAACATCGCATGTATACGCTTTGTTCTCCTCGTGTTCTTTTACATGCCTTAAACAATTATACTTTCGTATGAATTGGGCACCGCAATAATTGCAGGTAAAAGGACGCACATTTCTATGAGAATTCATATGAGCAGTGTAATCGCTGTGCCGGTAAAACGCGGCACTGCATTGATTACATTTAAAAGGTTTGGTGCTACGAGCAGCGTGAGTCCATTTGTGCAATTGTAAATTCCACTTAGTACTAAACGTTTTAGAGCAAACTTGACATTCATATGGTCTTTCGCCGTTATGAACTCGCATATGTACTGCTAAGGAAGATCGCAAATAAATACACTTACATATGGGACATTCAACATTTTCATTCTCTCTTTGAGCATCGGGAACAAATCTTCTGTTATGAGCTCGACGCATGTGTCGAGTCAGGCTAGCCATGTGAATGAATCTTTCGTTACAGTATGTACATGCTTTTGGTTTCTCATCGTGCGTCTCCTTATGCCAAGCTAATTTTTTCTTTGTATGAAATATCTCACCGCAATGACATATATAATCCTTCAATTTCTTTTTTATATTCAGATGATGTCTATTCTTATGCTGAGTTAAATTTGAATATCTACGAAACGTTTCATTGCAAAGATTACACTTGACAGGTGCATTCCCGGTATGGCCATTAGTATGTTCGTCTAATTTTTGTTTCGTCAAAAATGCTTTGTCACAAACGGTACAGGGAAATGGTTTGATTCCTAGATGTCTTTTCACGTGTAATTTAAAATTTTGTTTCCTATAAAAATACTTTCCACACTGGCTGCATTCTAACGGATGTATTTTTAGGTGGGCATTAAATAGTAAAACTGAAGGAAATTCTTCGTTACATATCTGGCACTTGGTACTCTCACGAATTCTCTTCGCTGTTTCGGTAACGTGTACTCTTTTATGATGTAACTGTAATGATTTTTCACTACTAAATCGTTGATTACAAAGTGTACAAAGCACTTCGATGTTCGATGGTATTACCAACGTTTCAATCTTTTGATCAGATTCTACTTTTGCTATTAATTCCAATGATTGCGGTGGTTGTAGTTGATGTAAAAGTGGTTGTTGATGTAAAAGTGGCTGTTGATGGTAAGCTTGCTGAACATGTAAACCCGGTACAAAAAAATCGTCAAATGCATTCATCCGACCATCCAATAACTTAATATCTTTTATTTCAGGTTGATCCGTTGATTCTCTACTGCTACTGGGTCCAGCTTCTTGATGCACGGTAGTACTGTGTACTCGACGTTCTTTCGGACAATCAAATGTTTCTGGACAATGGTAACATTTAAATGTTCTTTTTGTCGGTGTTTTTCTATCTCGATCTAAGAATAAACTTGATGTAAAATGTGTAGCTAAAGATCTGCTATCTAATAACGGGCCACTAATTTCATTGTCCGATCCTTCAGATTCTTCCCAACTTTCACGTGCCATCAAATCATAAGAGGTTGACATACACGACGACTCGTGACCAGCATACAACTAGATTGAATACAATAGAATTCTTATTGTACAGGTAAGTTTTATAATTCAAATAATAATTTAGTAATAACCTAATGTTAATAAATATATAGCAATAATTTATATACTATAAATAAAGTATGATTAAATAAAATACAACCTGATAATCTTCTTTGCAGAAAAAGAATTGTATACACACCTGCCAAGCTGATTGTTCTGTACACCCATTGCTTTCCTGTTCTGATAATTCACCTCTGGGTGGCATAGTTTCATCGGCCCTCATGTTAATACTTTTCACTTCTTCATCTACACCTATTCCTCCTTCGCTACTTGCCATAGATTGTTGACTGGTTGCACTAACAGCTTTTTGTGAAGAATCACTTATAAATGTACTAGGAACTAATATTTGAAGACCATCTAATTCAAACATATTCATTGGACCTGCATGAGCATCCTCATTTAAACTAAGAAGTTCCACTGATTGCTTTTGTATAATTGATTTAGATGAATGAAAGCATTTTGAATCAGAACTGCTTGCAATATCACTAGATTCTGACAAATTTACAAGATTATGATTCTTATTTGTTGCATTATATGATTCTTCTATGGGTGTTGATTGTTGCGAATGAATTGTAGGAAATGAACTCACATGCTCAGTGATTACAGACTGATATGCTGTGTCTCCTACTTTCTTTTCATTTTCACACAAAGAAAGTTCTGATTGATCAGCTTTTACATCTTGTTCAATTGAAGAACAATCAATAGGATCTTTTTCTGGTGATGTATCCATTGCTCCATTACTTTCTTCATCATGACTTAGGTCATTAGCATCCATATGACAAAATGAATGCACTGATGCAGGTGAACATGGTTTACTGAGATCTTTTCTAACTCTCAATACAGAGATACCACTACTTACAGATAATGGAGTATGCGATCTAACATGATCTGTACTTTCTCCATATTTAACAAAAGGTGTGTGTGGGCTAGGTATTTCTTCTATTTCCATATCTGCCTCATCAAAATTATTTTCTGCTTCATTCTTTTCATCCTCTTCATCTTCATCTTGCAATGTATTTGCATCAAAACCAATTGGACATGAATTCAGATTTTCATTCGAACCAAAATCTGAACGAACCGAGTATGTTCTATATTTTCTTTGTACCACTGGTGATGCAGGTGCAGATAAACTGTTTTTATAATGATATAAAAGACAAGAATTTTTATTTTCATCACTATCTAGATAAGTTTCTGAACTCTCATTAATTTTTATTTCTATGTCAGATTTACAACTGGTATCATGTTCACTAGAATTACTGGTTTCATGAATTACACTTTCTGCTCTTTCAAGGGATGATTTTTGTATCAGACCTTCATCTTTCTTTTTATCATTGGACTCTTTTTGTGATTCACCATTAAATTCAGATGCCACAATAGTAATTACAAGGTGGTCTAATTGTTCTACTTGAGGTTGAACCGATTCTTTTCTAGGCATTTCAGATGAGGTACCTTGATTTTCATTTATCTCTTTTCTGTGAGGAACTTTTTCATTAGTTGTTTTATCAGTTTCACTCTCACTAACCACAGATGACATTTCAGGCATGATAATTTTATTATTATCATCATCATCTTTATATCTATGCACATATTCCTGCATTTCTGATGATTCATAATGAACATCTGCAGTGATAACACGCGATGATTCTCCATCATCAATATCTGGTAGAACACTTTCAACTTTATCATCTGAAGTATTAACAACATTACAAGTGATTTCTAATGTTTTTGGAATGCTATCATATTCATTTTGCATATTATGTTGATGTTCAGCACTTGAACTGTGTGCTTCTTCTGCATGTTCTATTTGAATTGTACTAGTTCCATTTTCATTTTGCTGTATAGAGCTATCTTCATTTAATGCAGGGGGAGATACTGGAAGATTGATGTCTGGTAACACTTGTTCAGACTCTTGCTCTGGCTCAGGTAAAATTTCAGGTAAAATTTGTTTTGGCTCGGAATTATTTACAGATACAGCAATGGCAGTTCTACCACTTGTTTCACCAGCCATAGTCACCACTGGCCTAATTCTAGCTGTATTAGATATAGTTGTGACCGGTGAGATCATCTGAACAGTTGGTATCTGTTGTTGCTGGTACATACCATACGGATTATAGAGCATCTGCATCATCTGATTAGCTTGTGGACCCATCGCGTATTGTGGTATCATCATAGTGCCATTATTTACAAACTGTTGATAACTAAATGAAGCAAACTGAGGTGGCATTACAGTACCAATAGGTGGACACTCAAAAATAGGTCCTATAGGATATGGAGATTGAGCTGATACATGAGTATTCTGTGTAACTTGAGATGTACTTTGTGGTGATTGTATAGCTGGAGATGCTGGAGGTGCAGTTGGTGACAATTGAGTCTGTTGCAAATGTAAAGAATTAGTACTAGCTTTAATAAGAGCTTCAATAACTTGTTCCTTGGGATGAGTGTCCAAATGTCTTTGTAAGCTGATACCCTCACGTAAGTAGAGGGTACATACTGGACAAGCCACTGCACTCCCTGATGTTCCATTGCTTGTTGCATCCATGGTGTCTGTGATATCTTGTTTACACATTTAATTTTCTCAACTATTACATTGAACACAGCCAATGTAATGAAACTCTCTGTAAAAGATGCACATTGAAGTAATAACACCACTTTTTTCTTTTTGTAATTGACGTCTTTACTATTAATGCCAGTGTTATAGTTTTTATCGAATTTGTTGTAGATATCGTGGTCGTCGTTGATGTCGGCGTCGTGACCGCCGCCGTGGTCGTCTCCGTCGCCGTCGCCGTCGCTGTCGTTGTCGTCGTAGTCGCCGTCGCTGTCGCTGTCGCTGTCGCCGTCGCCCTCACCGTCACCGTCACCGTCGCCGTCGCCGTCGCTGTCGCCGTCGTTGCCGTCGTGATGGTCGTTATGATTGTAGAAACGTACTCGTTGTAACCCGTTAATTTGACTAATATTGTTAACACATATCGTCAATGGCTGGCTGCATTTTGGGCTTTATCAGGCCTGCAAACACATTAGAGCACGGCATATGCACAGCCGACACGTTGCAGCAGGCAGTGCCCCAAAAATATCGACGTTCATGGCTACCTGGTTCGTGTGTGCGATGGAGCCAGCAAGGCAGTCGCGGACAAATCAATATCCTATTAAATCGCTAGCCTCCCCTGCTCTTATTAAATTACACCTGCACCATTCACACACATCCGCGATACAACACCCTCCTTAATTCTGGATATAATAACTCTTCTTAAGAGCCTTTTGTTCCTCATTCGATTATCGAAACGGCATGTTTTTCGCCCGATTCCAGCCTAAAAACACAACAGAAAACAGTGACGAGTGGTATTCCACCTTAGAATGAGAACAACAAGAAGTGTTACTACGAATATAGCGCCCCCTCGTATACTGTTCTATTAGCCATAATCTTCTACATCTACCGATTACGAAATAATCGTTCTCTATTTTATCAACTATTCTAAAAGCGTCAAAACACATTTTACATTCGTTGGAATTTTTATATTATTATGTATATTATTCCATTCATAATTTGTCTCTTTTCTTTCCCTTTGATCTCTTACTTTTCCGTTCAGAATATTCATTTTCTATTTCTTTTCAGCTCTTATTCTTTGTACATCAAACATATTCATTTTATTATTTATTACTCTTTTTGATCTTATTATACAAGTATTATGTTATTTAAACATTTTCTAATATTTTATTTAAATTATGAACACATTTTTGCATTACTGCAATTGCTACTATTACAATTATAGTAGAGATAACGTTTCATTGATTAGTATCCAAATAGAAAACTTAATACCAATAATTTTATTCATTAATATGTTGATAATGTTAAATGAAAATAAATTACATTAATATTATTTCAAATCCATAGGATCTGAAATAAATAACAGTGCAATTAGGACACAATTTTTCAATAATAAGTGATATCTTACTATATTTTATTTATCTATGGCTTCAAGTAGACATGCGCTTTTGTCTATGTATTATTAAAGAATATCCATACATGTTGACCACGTTGGTAGAGTTGTAAATTACATGATTTTGTATTTTTGATATTTTATCACTTTTATCATTTCACATACAAATATGTAATAATTTGTATTATGTCGTAAAACTACTTTTGTAAAACTACTTGAAATTACAAATCTGACAAAGATATATTATGACATAAGTACAAAATAAATGGCTAAACTAGAGAATTAGTTTAAAATAAAACATATTTTCTGACATTAGGTCAATCGATAGTTAAATAAACTTAGTCAAATTGTTTCAAGTAATTACTATATAAAACTGAAATATACTTATAGTATTAGGATCATATTATTTACATACATAGGTAGTGTGATGCAGTTGAATTTAAATAAGTATAAAACATTGATAATGAATAGTGAATGGAAAATATATCTATTTTGGTTTGCTCATGAACATATTGACTTTAGAGAAGCTGTAAGTGGATTTATATTCACTTATTTAAGTATCTTACATATTTGCTAATTTTTGTTTTTGTTTTAGGAGATGGAATCTATTCTTAATATGTTCAATGTAAATATAAATGTTAGACCTAAATGGAAAGAAAATGTAAGAAATTAAAATTATTACATTATATATTATAATATTATACATTTATTTGGATTACAAATAATTTTTATTATAGCCTTATTGGATAACTAATTTACCTTCAGAAACTATTGCACATCAAATTTCAAGTAGAGCAGTTTGTGTGAGGTTTTGTATAGAATTATGGGCTAACAGTAAAACATTGGAAGAGTTACATGATAAATTAAAATCTTATCCAGTTACAGAAATAAAAAGACATACTGGAAACAACAAATCATTTAAAATAATAGTTGAAACATTTTGTAAACACTTTCCACAATGTGAAAAAGTAAACAAAATAGAGGTAAATGTATGAATTATTCTATAATTCTTTTTTTACAAATACATTACATAAGTTAAACAATTTAAATCTATCCTTTTATAAACAAGTGTTGTATAAAAGTCTTTCAGTTATTTACCCCTGGAAGGACCAGTGAGATTAAATAATCCAGATACAACTTTATGTTATGTAGAGTTTTATGGATTAAATCCCAATGACATTCCTGAACAACCTTATGAATTGTTTTTTGGTAGATGGGTAAGCTATTATTCAAATGACAATATATGATTGATTATACCTCTGATATTTGAAATAATGTGCTTTTAGATTACAAGTGGACAAAGAGATTTAATCAGAAAATTATCCCTGAAAACTAGAAAATTTATAGGTAATACTTCTATGGATCCTCAATTGTCATTAATAATGGCAAATCAGGCTCTGGTTCAAAAAGGAGATATTGTTCTTGATCCTTTTGTGGGTACTGGTTCTTTATTAGTTGCTGCTTCTCATTTTGGAGGATATACATTAGGAACAGATATAGATTTTCTAATGCTTCACGGACGTACAAGACCTACTCGAATCACACAAAAGGTAAAAAGATTAATTTCTTCAGAAAATCATTACTAATTCTCATGAAAATAATTGTCAGATTAGGGAGAAGGATGAAAGTATTGCCGCAAATATGAGTCAGTATGGAAAACGATCATACTATATTGATGTTGTTGTGTCTGATTTTTCTTACCCTCTATGGCGTTCAGATATGCGCATAGATGCTATAATTACGGACCGTACGTTGGTAACAAATAATTAAATTGGTATTACTGATTATATATGTATTTAATTTTAATAATTTCAATTTTACAGCTCCTTATGGTATACGAGAATCAACAGAAAGAATAGGTACAACAAAATCAAATCCAGTAATAGAGGAACATCAAGCATCATCACATATACCATCTAAAGTTGGTTATGGTTTAACTCAAATATTTACAGATTTATTAAATTTTTCGGCCAGGCATCTTAAAATGCATGGCAGATTAGTGTGTTGGTTTCCTTTATTTAGGTAAGTGGTATTGTTGGAACCAAAAAAATTATTTTTTGGAAAAAATTATTATTATTCTTTTTAGAGATCAATATTCAGAACATCAATTACCGACACATCCGTGTCTAGAACTAGTTGCAAATTCAGAACAAGTACTTAGTATTTATACTAGTCGAAGATTATTAACTTATCAAAAAATTCAGGATCCAAAGGTATGTTCCGGTAAATAGAATTAAATAAACAGTTAACTAAATTTTTTATTTTCCGTATCAGGAATCAGATGAAGTGATTTCTACGAATTTAATTGATTTTCGAGAACAATATTTTGCATTAAGGAATGAAAGTCGAAAAGAAAAACGACTAAAGAAAGCTGTAGAAAAAGCTAAGAACAGAGAACTTTGGGAACAGAATAATAAAGAAAATGCAAAAAGATGACTCTTTAATTATTTTATGTGTAACAAACATTTATTTCATCCTTCAAATTTCTTCTTTGTGAATATATTTTTCACTAACCTTTTGCAGTTTGTGATCATAAATCCAATTTAAAGAATTACATAGAATGTACATAAACGAACGTGTAATAAATTTAATACTGAAACAATTTTTTTTATTGAAAATAAAGCGATTCGTAATATTTTTGAACTATTGTTTTGTCGAATTATAATGCTTATGAAACTATTAATATAGTTCTTATATTTTTCTATAATTTTCATTCCTGTTTTCTGATTAACAAATTAATTAACTAGCAAAGTACATTTTTCTGTATTTTGCATAATAAATAATTTAATATACAGCGGTGTTACGGAAGTTGACTACAGCTCGGTACCGCAAAAGGCCAACTTTCCAAAGATTTGTTGTTAAATTTGTTTATTTTAGATATGTAACACCGAAAGTCAGATTTATGAATTGGTGGATATATCGACGGTCAACTTCCAAGAATCATGTCCAACTTTCGCCACACCACTGTATCTGTGTAAGTTTACTTCCACCATTAAGAATTAATTATGTAAAAATTTCTAATTGACATATAATAAATTACACATGTATATTGTGAAGGGTGGATAGTACATTTACATATGATACAGTACTTAAACATACACATAAATACAAATTTCTGTTCCTATGCATCAAGTTGTAATTGTCCTAATAATCCTTCTACTGCATCAACATGTTCATCTGAAACTTTTGACTTATATTGTTCTTCAATTTGATTAGCTGCCCATTCACTTAATTTTATTGCATCTTTCTTTTTAGAAGAAGGACATTTAGGAGATGTAGCAATGTTATTTGATGCCTGAAAATAGAATTACATTAGAATTGTATAATTAAAACACTTGTAAAATTTTGTTCTTACCAATAGTAAACCATATAAAGCTCTAATATTATTTGGATTTAACTTGGCTGCCTGACAGAAATATGCTTTTGCTAACTCCATATTTTCAAATCCACCCTAAAAGTAAATATTCAATGATGAAATTTTAGGCTTCAAATAAACTTCTACTATTTCTTACCTGAGAATACTTTATTTCTGCATATCTTTGATAAATTAAATGACTATGTGGATTATGCAGAATAAGTTCTTCCATACAAAATGCAGCTTTAGAATATTCTTGTTCTTGTAAATACAGATCACATAATTCATGCCATGCTTCTTGATCACTCATAAATCTGTAATTAACAGATTGAATTATGACTTTTGAATACCAATGATATTTCATTTTAATACTAACTTTTTCAAATATTCTGTAAGCTCTTTAATAGCTTCTGGTATTCGACCTTTTGCTTTTAATATAGCTATATAACGTTTTCTTGGTGCTGCATTAGTTTCATCTCTTTTTATGATAGTCTCCAAAACTTCTAATGCTTCATTATACCTATAAAGTATTTGGATTTTCTTATGTAGAACATATACATATAATACATAACATCAGTCTTATAAATCAACATTACATTTCCAAGGCTTCCAAATGCATTGCATGATATTTATGAACTCTTAAACTACTAGGAAATTCTCTCTTCAATAATTTAATGCAACATTCTGCTAAGGAAAGCTGATAACAATCCAATGCTGCCATACAAACTTGTTCCAAAACTAGATACTCTATAAAAAAAAAGTTATATAAAATCATTATAAGTATAGTTAATATTATTATATACTTATAAAATACTTTGTCATACTTTCATTGCCAAGTTGATCAATTTTTTCCATTAATTTTGATTCCCATAAATCCACTACATCTTTACTTCTTCTTTCATTGTCTTCTCTCCATGTTCTGAATAAGTCTCTTACTTCTAGTTATAGATGTAAAGGATTAATAAATCTTGAAAACTTACAAACTATTAGAATACATTTTTTATCAGCTTACCTTTCCAAGATAAATTATCGTATTGGTCTGCCATTGCTAAAACTTAAAAAAAATATTTATAAAGCCATATTCTTGCAGAGATTATAATTGAGATTTAAAAATTAATTAGAATTACACATTTACAATAAATGTGATAAAATGAAAAATACAAGTACTGGTGTTCTGTATGTAAATATATTATTCACTCTTTGTTGTAACCTATATAAATAAAGAAATAAATGTTACAAATATGTATTAATATGTGGGCAATACAATAACATTGCATGAAAAAGAGTTAAGTCAATTTATATACTAATAAATTAATTTACTAACGTTTCATTTGAACATGTTTAAAAGGAGTTGGAAATTTACAATGGTACAGTGTTTCTTGTGATGAAAGTATAAAATGTAAAGTATCATTAACGCTTTTAACTTACAGAAAAATAATTACAAAACAGCAAATATAGCTACAATAAAATATTGATTGTAGTTAATGTATTTGTAATGACAATTAGATGGTCGATCATATGGGTTACATAGACTATAGAAGAAACCTGTTCACATATGTATTTATGTATGTTATATGTATGATAGATCAGAAATTGATGCAAATTCTTGTTCATTAATATTGTTATATAAGACTGCTCAATAAGTGAGAAATGTATTTGTGAAAACTAATGTATCATTATACTGTTATTTTATTTATTTCTTATACAGTTTAAAAATTATTATACAGGTGAAGGAATTTTTCATATTTTTCAACAATGATTTAATGATGAATTATTCCTGTATTTGATAGATGTTAGGGAAGTGTTTTTGTAAGTCTATCAAAACTTTATTTTACTTATTCTTTGCAAATTCTATCTTTACAGTTGATTTATCAACATATGTTTTTGAGTATACCGCATTCTGACACATTATGATTCGGTGAAGCGTGTTTTACCATCTGAAAGTTTTTCACTAGTGATTATTCTGAAAAAGATATATGTACAAAATTAACAGTTTCTATTTTACGTATAATATTAATTTCAAAAGTGGGAAATTTAAACCATTATTGGTTTAAATTGTGCAATCATATATTGGTGAAAGATAGAACGTGTCAAATAGACGCTTGGACGCCATGATGGTAGGTGGAACCTGTTATCACTTATCCACCGATTTGCCTTCTTAACGAATTTAATACTGTGTAGTTTATTCTATTGTATTATAAATCTACTGCGTATAGACTTTAATTCAAGAAAATGTTTCAGGACGGCATATGTGATACTGCCGACATTTTAAATAATGTTCCTTCTAAAAAGGTACTTAACATCAGTTATCTTTTCATTTCTTTTTTCAATTCTAAAATGATAATATTTCCTTGAAACTTAGCGGTTCCGTATTTGTCATTTCTATTTGTACTTTGTGATTATATTAATTAATTCTAATTATTTATATTTGCAGACAATTCATGCTGACAATGTAGACCTCTCTGATAAGTCATTACAAGTGGATATTTCAGATGCTCTTAGTGAAAAGGATAAAGTAAAATTCACAGTACATACAAAAACCACACTACCAGAATTTCAAAAACCAGATAACTTAGTTGTAAGGCAACATGAAGAATTTGTATGGTTACATGATAGATTTGAAGAAAATGAGGAATATGCTGGTTACATTGTATGCCATCTTCTTTTGTTCATGTTTGAATATATCACAATTATACAATTGTAGTACTAAGTAGAGTACAGAAAAAATATATATTTTTAGATTCCTCCTTGTCCACCAAGACCAGATTTTGATGCATCCCGTGAGAAATTACAGAAACTTGGAGAGGGTGAGGGTAACATGACTCGTGAAGAATTTAATAAGATGAAACAAGAATTGGAAGCGTAAGTCTTGTATAGAAATCTTGAAACAGATTAAAATATTAGTACCTGTTTATACTGATAAAAATATAAATTTATATAATTTTTCTTACAGTGAGTATTTGGCTACATTTAAGAAAACTGTTGCTATGCATGAAATGTTTTTAACTAGATTAGCACATCATCCAGTTTTTCGAAATGATCATAATTTAAGAGTATTTTTAGAGTATGATCAAGATCTTTGTGTGAGAGGTAAAGATTTTGATTGTTGCTTTAACACTTCTGTATTTTTCTTAACTAAGTTACTTATTGGTAAGGTACATAACAAGTATTCCTACTTTATTTTAGGAAAAAATAAAATGGAAATGTTTGGTGGCTTAGTCAAATCTTTCTCTACTACCACTGATGAATACTACTTGTCAGCAACTGTTAAAGATGTGAATGATTTCTTTGATCAGGAAATGTCGTTTTTGCAAACTTATCATCATAATTTAAAAGAAGCAACAGCTCGGGCAGATCGGCAAACCGGCAAACATAAAGATGTAGCAGATTCGTACATAAAAATCTCTACGAATCTTTTACAACTAGCTACAACCGATACCGGTAAATTAGAAAGATTTTTAACAAAAATTGCCGAAACATTTGAAAAATTAAGGGTAAGACTTTTAATTTTAATCCTTTTTAATCGTATTATTCATGTTGATGATTCATATTGATGTTTGGAATGTTACAATGTAATAGAAAGTTGAAGGTCGGGTAGCATCTGATGAAGATTTAAAATTGTCAGACACTCTTCGTTACTATATGAGGGATACAGCTGCAGCTAAACGGCTTTTGTTTAGAAGGTTGAAAGCTTTACACGCATATGAATCAGCAAATCGTGCTCTTGAAAAAGCTCGTGCCAAAAATAAAGATGTTCATGCTGTAAGTATATTCCTTTAGATATACTTGTGTGAAATATAAAAACCCATAAGAAAAAAAACCATAATCATAATTACATAAAATCATACATCCTTATGTATTAAAGATATCATATACAGTATACGTATATACCGAGTGTTTCAACATAAACTTATACCATGAAAACTGTAAATTTTTTATTTGATTTGATGTCAAGGACAGGAAGTTCTAGCTTAGGCTCTTCTTGGTTCTCCCCGTTCTTCCGGTTTCCCTTGTTTCTCAAGACTCAAAGCAATTTTCAATTTTTTCTTAGAGAGTTGTAGTTTTGATGGCGTATATCTTTTTTGAAACATCCTGTATATATTATACAGTGTTCAATGAGTATCTAATCAAAACTTCAATTTTTTTGCTCATCAAGGCAGTGGAGGTGGCTGAGGTGTGTTTTTTCCCCATTTGTATGCTTGCCGCCTTGCAGTAGTGCATAATAATTTTAATACCAATTTTAGTTTCTAAACAAATTTATACAAAAATGATAACATGGAAAATTTAAAATGGTGCATATGTATACGGCGTATGTAACGATAATTATTTTATTTTATGAATTACATAGTTATTAAGAATTTATGTTCATAAACAGCGTTAGAATATTATCGCACCATTAAAATAGATTTTTTTCCGAGGAAAAAATATACTAAATCATAATTAGTGATTATGCTGTGAATCGTCATTACGTTGAATATGCATGAGCAGAATTTGCATGTATTTTTACGTGTTTATATTGGAATTTTTAATAAGGAACTCAGAAGTTACGTGTGCAAGGAAACTTTACATTGTACTAAATATTCAGTTAAACTTTAATTGTGTTATATATTTAAATAAAATTCGAAATTGCTTTTTATTTTTGTTCATTCAGGCGGAACAAGCTCAAACGGAAGCATGCGAGAAATTTGAACAAATGTCGGAGAAGGGAAAAGAAGGTTATTACTACCATTTTATAAATTCATTTAACTTTGTTACCGGTTAACATAAATTATATTTTCATTTTTCTTACAGAGTTAATGGATTTCAAAACAAGAAGAGTAACTGCATTTAGAAAGAACCTAATTGAATTAACCGAACTAGAAATAAAACATGCAAAAGTAAGAATTATTTTTTTTTTTTTAAATCATTAAGATTAAAAAGAATATGGATGAAGAAAATATTTGATTTATTTTGCTTGTAGGCACATGCGGAATTGCTCAAAAAATGTTTATCAGTTTTACGAGAAGAGTGATCCAGTTTAATAACTCTCATGGTAAAGATTACCATGTAATCTGTACGAAGATTACAATCTATTTAAAATTATAGTAATGTAATCGTACTGTAAAATATATATATTTTTTGTTATCTAGATTTATATTACCTCGATAAAGGTATTATTAACTGTAAAAGTGCTCCATATAAAAGTAATTAATGTTTAGTATTTTCAAACTGTATGTAAATGTTATAATAATTCTTTATGCTTAGAAAGTAGTTATCTTTTTTATAAAAATTTTTTAAGGAAACACTTAATTCAGAATTATATAATAGATAATACCTCTTGTCGAAATTTTCCGTAAGTTTAATTTGTTACAAGTTGAAAGATTCTTTATATTCTACGTATGTACACCATGAGTATTGCAAGGTGTTTTTTTAATATGTGTTACATTCAGGAAATAAGAGATTCATAATGTAGAAATAAGCTAACGTAAAACTATGGGTATATTTTTTGAAAAATACAAAAACAAAGTAATAATTGCAAAAAGTTGAAAGTTTTATAAAATTAATTGTTGATTAATATAAATAATGGTAAAATACATTGTGAATATTTAATAAATATTAGGATAATCATGTATATAGGAAATATCGAAAATTATGGAAAACATTAAAACTGTAAATGTATTATAACTATATTGATGCGTAATATTTTATAATTTCATCAGTAATTGATTATAGATAATAACTACTACGGTAAAGTATAAATACAATCACTTCAAGAATCTTTTATTTCCAAAATTTATCACATCTTATGAAACGTCCTGTACATAATGATTCCATGTATACGTGTACGTATACACATAAATGTCATTTAAATAAGAACACGTACAAAATTTTGTTGTTGTTAAAAACAAAAAAAAAAGGAAGGGCTGCTGGTGCATTCAGTTAATGTGAACAGTGAAATCTACTGTATAATGATAAAAGCAATATTATTTCGAATAATTTTGTTTTTAAAAATTCTTCAACACAAAGGTTTTATATATAAATTAGTATATATATATACATACATTAACTTTTAAGATTTTTACAGATAAATTAGTGTTATATAATGTTAATTCAATTTACAATATTTTGTTTGTTCAATAAATTGTATGATAAGAAAAGGGACCTTAAATTTAAACGATTACGTGTAATCTGATTGTATGAGTGCGATTTGCATATTTACCAAAAAAATTATTCAAAGCTTGCCAAAGATAATTAAAAGAAACAAAAGCAATTCAAATGACATAACATAGATGTTTGTATAGACAAAGGTTTATGTTATTTTTTATTCATTTGAAATATACTATTCTCTATCGTACATGATCGCAGATATTCATCAAAGTTAATTATTAAACAGAACTTGGTTATTTAATTTTCAAGGATTCATTTAAAATGTTCTTATACCATCCTATTTTAAAATTAAATCTTATATTGTGTAAATTGAAAAAGATTATATTATTAATCACTTTCAAATCCATTTATCATCATACATTAATAATTTTCCTATATAGACATTAATGACATGTTCTGTAGATACCTTTCTTTAAATACTCATACTTTAATTTTGTTTAATAGACTTCTATGTTTTTTTATTTGCTTTCTTGTTTCGCAAGTTTATGACGATTATAGTTATAACAAAGAATTTTATTCTACTTATTAAATTTACTATTATACATTGAATGATATTTTTTTAGACATAATTTGAGTTCTTTGAATGTTCTTTATCTCATGCTCTCATACAAATGATATTTGAATTATGATTTTTATAAAAATTTATTTTTGCAATCTGTTCTTAGAACTGAAATATTTTTTAATTTCAATAATACAGATCACCATAATTACCAAACGAGCGATGATCTAATTCAATAATTTTTGTTTTTAACGACAACTTTTCATTTAAGAAAGTTAACGTAGATTTAGGTTTTGTATTATATATTGTGCCTAAACATAAATTAATCATTTTTATTCATATTTTTAGCGAATATCCAGACACACGTCAATTTTATTTTTGTATTATGACACGATCCTCATCGATCGTTAATTTCTTGATAAGGAAAACTGGTACAGATGAAAGGTATTTAATATTTCCATAAAAAACAATTCGTTTTTGGTTCGTTGTGTTACAAGATCTTTTCTTCGCTGGAAAGTTGAACAGTATTACGACGAAGTGATCATTAAATTGTGGAGTAACATGAAATATTTTGTATTTTATAAATTGAAAGACGAGATAGGAGGAATTCATACGATTTCATGAACGAATATTGAAGAAAAAGCAGGTAGAATCAGGAGTCTGAGGAAGGATAAAATATTAAAAAATAAGCAAAAACAGTATGTATGATTAAATCATCTATTTTATTAAAATTAAAAAAGATATACAGGATATAAAAATTTAATGAAATTAAAATACCAGCGAAAGTAATTTCATTCTCTAATATAAATTATTTGTTTTTAGGATTCCATAACTCTTGGGAGTGATCATCACCCTTTGGACCCAACACTGAAAAAAGAAACACAAGCAAAAGTATGTAATTAAACCTTTATTTTTCCTATCACGATCATCGTACCATTAAACTTTCCTTCGAACGATCCTTCCGTTTAATCGTAACGCTAATGCAATTACTTTGGAAGTTAAACACCCGATTTCCCGCGAACAAACATACATTGCGTGTTCGTGTAAAGAAGAAATAATGGGCTCACCTTTTCTCGTCCTGTAGGATAATGCAGGTGTTCTTAAGCCAAGAAGGCCCGTGTTCCCAATTAGGGTGCAGGAAGGGAGAGTCCAAAAAGGGGTGCGGGATTAATGTTATAATTGAAACATAGAATCTCTCTACCCGTTATATTTATCAATCCATATCCTTTACCTAAAAAAAAAGCACAATCAAAACTGATAAGTGTATTCAGTTGAATCAGTTCCCATTTATCCTTGATTGAAATAAAACGTAAGGGATCCAAGGATCATTAAGAAGTTATTAAACTTCCCCGTCGTAATGAACGTTAGAATGCATCGGCTAAAGACTCTGCAGCTTTATTGAAATTCGTGTAGATTTTTTTTTTTTATTTTTTTTTTTCAACGAACTCACCTTTGGTGCGTTTCGTCAGATCACAAGGACAGTTCTGAAGGATTGTTTTTAGCGGTTAAACATGACAAAAAAGAGAAGTAAAGCCGATTGGAAACTTGGAAATATCGTTTTATCGCGAACAGAGCCTCTCCGGACGTTTTAACTCGTGTAAGTTTATTTGATCGGCTTTACTTGGCTTCATTGATACGATCGAGTAAAACCAATTTCGCACGTACGACACGACGATAATGTCGCAAACGAGTATCTCCATTCAAATGATTCTAATAAGATGGTTTAGGGGTTGTTGCGACAACTGATTTCGAAGGGAAGCAAATAGAGGCGATACGAATTGAATTTTTTTTTTTCATGTTTTACGTATACGTGTTCTTGTATGTACGTTCTCATATCTTCACATTACAAAGAAATTTTAACGACGAACGTTTGATCGATAATAAACGTCTGTCATCTCGTCTAAATTCTCTTTTTGACGAAGTAAATATACATACATGCCATTGTTAAACACGCAACCCAGTTTCTTATTTTTTTTTTTTAATCGTGAACCATCTACAGACGAGCAGTTTGTTTATAATTAGGACGACGTAATTGGTCTTTATAATAATAATCAGACTTATATATTACACGCATGCAACCACGCACGCACGTGTGTGTGTAAATTACACGCGCGTGTATAGCAGTTTTTTTATTTATTTATTTTTTTTTTTTTTCATTTTTCGGTGTGTTTACGGAACTAAAAAATATTGTCATCGAGACCTTAACGAAGATATAATTGCTACGTGGTTCAAGATTTTTACTTCTAGACGTTTCTTCACTTCTTTCCTTCCGTTCTTATTTTCTTTCCCCTTTTTCTTTTTGTTCGCTATATGGTTGATGAGAATACGACAGAGCATAATACAGACACCAAACAGTCGATATTTCAATTGTGGATTTTTATTAAAATTCGATTTCAACGGATCTTGCGAATAATTGTTCGAAGTAAGGGCACAAAATTCGTAAAAAGGCGGGCGAACGTTAAGCAACGTACCAAATTTATCTTTCGTCATTCGAGTTATTTTAACGTCTACGTGTTGAGATCTTTACGACTACAAATTAAAGTATAATCGAAACCAAGGGGTCGACGTATAAATTTGACGCATTGAAAATTAATTAATTTACAGAGATGTTAGATCGGAGAGAAATGCACGCGTGACGCGGAAATACACAGAGATTTTCTATGGCAGATATTACTATTAATCGATGTTGAGATATTACACGCAGAACGCGTCGCTGATCGAATTTCTTTTCGAGTATTAAAGTCTTATTATCTATTATCCTACGGATCTTACGTTTCTATTTAACTTGTTGCTTATCCTGAAAGAGATCAAATTGTTGATAGGTTTATTATCTCTCTCTTTCTCTTGTATGATTACCTTGGTACTCGAGAAACTCAAGTGGTATACAAGAATCTTCAAGAGTGGATCGTTCTTTTCGATTACCCTCTTAACGCGTTTCTCTTCCCTATGTTAGACTAATTGTTTCTTTAATAAATCGTGAATCATGAATTATTAAATACCTACGATTGACTATTCTCTTTCGTACCGTATTTCGGTGTGTTACGTGACAAAAATTTGAAGGGGTAGTATAGTGGCGCAATTAGGGAGGTCCAGAAGGGTCAGTTGACCGTTCTATAAAAAATTAAAAGTCTCGGAATATTTTCGAAATTTCTTGATCCCCTCTAGTTGATTATGCTCGCGCCACTGGGGAAAGTATTTAGGAAGGGTGCTTTCCGCAAAGGGTTCCGTGCGACGATGAATTAACAATGTAAAGAAAGGAAGAGAAAATAAAAAAGCGAGCTAACGAATCGATCCGAAATAAGCTGGTGTGTCGTGACTTCTTTTATCATGCTTTTTCTTATTCTCGTTCATCGTCTACTTTTTCCCTTTAATCGATACCGCTGTCACGCGATTATATTTCACGTGAGTTGTTACGTGTAATAAGACCAAACGCATTGTACACATTTTTCGAAAGCTTCTACTTAACTGTACGCAGGCTTATTTCGAGGAATTGTAAAATTCAAACTTATCTCGAATGTCTTATTTGAAACAATATATGGCAGTTTCTTTTTTCTTCGCTATTTCTGGATTTTATCAAACTCGAGAACTACGTACTCTTCTAGATACAATATTTGTTATTTGATCCCTGTTGTAACTTTTCGTCCGCATTTCAAGTTCTTCGCTTTTCATTACTTTTTTTTTCTCTTTCGTTTTAAAATTCTATGTTACGTTTAATAAAAAATGTTAATCAAAGAATATTCACTTACGATATGTAAAATCTGTATTTGATTTTGAAAAATAATCCCGAGGCAAATGCAGACGAAACGTTGGTTAAATGAAATCGGAATCTGTCTTACCCTCGGCTCTTATCGATTAACGAGATAATTCACAATTTTTTTTCTTCCTTTTTTTTAAATAAATCGTCGCGAACAATAATAACGGCGTGTGCGCGGAGTATTGATCTAAGGTTTTGCACGCTTGAAACTACTAAAGTCGGTTCGGAATCGAAGTCGATAAAATGGAACTGAAACCTCCTAAGTGGTGATTAATTATAGGAGAAGATACGAGAATCATGGTGGTAGGGCCGAGGGTTAGCAAAGGATATACGCGAACTTTTGGAAATTCGAGGCGATACTTGGCAACACTATCAATTTCAAACTTTGATTCACGCACGCTCCTGTCTGTTTCCGTATCTCGCGGGGCTGAATGAAAGCAAAACTTTGGGAAAATTGCCACGACATAGAATTGTTGCTCAGACGACTATCAAAACCGATTCGAAGTTTATTGCTAGTTCAAAGAGAGCAAACGCGACCACCGATGGTACACGCAGTACATATGTGTATGTATATCAGTATTGCTTCTAAAAGACGTTGCGTTAGATTTTTAACCGAGAAACAATTTGCCGCCGGTTTTGCAAAGATGTCGATGTAAAGATCATTATTGTTTCGTCTTTTCGATAATTTAAAAAAAGGATGAGAGCGAGAAAAAAAATGTCTTCTTATTTTGTACATTTAGACAATAATGCTTATAGGTATTGCTTTATTATTTAGTTCTTGGGATAAAAATTCAAACGTTCTTTCTATCCAATTAAAATTTTTTTCAATTCGTCTTTCGGTTAGAAATTGATTACTGATGGAGGGTGAAGGTGGAGGGTGAAAGAGAGGTGAGAGAAAGAGAAAGAGAGAGAGAAACTGTCCAATTAACCACTAATATATCTACAATTTCAGGCGCACGTAACGATGTGGATCCAGAACACGCAGAACAATCTACCATGAAAATCTCGTATGTTGAAATAATTCAGCCGGCGGCAACCTCGGCGACAAGATTGAAAATAAAAAGCGAAGTTACAATGAGAAAAACATGATAAAGGGAGGTATAAGAATTATGTTAAACAGCCAATAAAACGTGGTAAAGGAAAGTGAAATTACAGAGATGATACGGGCGGGAGCGTTGAAGATAAAAAATGATGAGGAAGAACTGAAGAGATAGAAGGAAACGAGAAGTCACGTATGATAATGTCGATGTTCAGGCATTTAAAGGGAAAGAAGGAGAGTGAATAGAGGGTTAAAATCGCAGAATAGTAGCCTATCTATCACAAACGGAAGTAACGGTATAATAATTATGGACATATCGAAGAGAAACGCTTATCGCGTTAAAACGACCTCTATCGCAATGGTGACAAGTAGTACTAGCAATTCACAGAAATTTTTCTCTGCGGCCGATGTTTTACGGCGCTGTATGGCTGCCATTTTGTCACCTGAAACATTTAAAACAACTACATAAGTAATTAATTTTTAGGTGACTGGCCGAGGCAGAGATGGGTCGTCGAGCGAATGGCGAGGGGATGGTGAGCGGATGGAGGAGTGGACTGAAGGGGCCTTTCCAGTACAGATAAATCAATAGTAAGTTCTTGTACTTACTTGTACCGATACAAATATGTGATTAATAAAAAAAAAAATCGAATTGAATAACTTCCTCCTTTTTTGAAGTCGGTTAATTAAAAATACCGATACCTTGCCAATACTTCAAAAATTTTATCACTTTGGATTAGAAACTTTTTCTCATGATCAGAGGTAGTATTTAGAACGTAAGAAGTAATGAAATTGAGCAAGGTGTTTTTTACCTTCTGTGACAAAGACATAGATGGATGCTGGCTTGGTATTCGAGGCGCTGCACGTATAATTGCCAGTGTCCGTTTCCACTGCTTGGTGAATCGTCAGCCGACTTTGAGTCGAGCTGGGATCAGTTTGTACGGTTACGCTGCCTCGCGTAGTGTCATAATTTATCATTCGATTATTATGATACCAGAAGACATATTGCGGCGGTGTCGGACTCTGAAATGGACAAATATAACTGTTCACCGTAAGAAAATTAATAAGAAGGATCTTTATTTCAGTAGTGTTAGATATGAAGGGTAATTATAAATTCTCAATTCGTAAGTAAATTCATTAAAAAAAATAAAAAATAATAATGTTTTTATTTTCATTTCTATGTCCAGAGCCTGAAAAACTTGAGACAAGTTCCTGAAAGTGTTATGTTTAATAGACATACGCGCGTATCACGCGGTTTCAAATCGAATTAGGATCCGGCGATGATATCAGGTAAGTGTAATCTTATAAACATTAACACGACCGGCAGCGCGGTGGCGTCACTTGTATACGAATAGATTAGACATATTTTGGCTCGCTACCGTGCCGGTCGTTCGTTCGTTCAAGCAATCTAACGAAATTCTGTTGTGCGGGCAGTATTTTACACGTATTTTGTGCTCAGTGTGACCAGTGTTCCTATGATGGATACCCGTGGCGATTGTGCAGCGCTGATCAATGGAAAACAATTGGAGCTGGAGTCAGCTGGTTTCACGGAAGTTCGACGAATGTGAGTAAGCTTACAAAGAGCTTTTTATAGTGTCAGCATTTTTCATTACCTAAGACGTATTTATGAATACCGGTGTCTTCTCATAACACGCTCCCCCCCTCCCCCCCGGAAGCCATATTGGTACCGCATTTAATACGATCAATTTGTCTGGCAAGAATTTCTTAACTGCATTTTCTCGGTATCGAACCGCTGGAAACCTATTAGATCAGCATTTTCCACTCTCGCCGTGCATTAGACGCCACGGATGTGTCCTTTTTGTCGCGAGTCGTATACGCGAGACGAGTCGCGAGAGAGAGAAGAAAAAAGAACCGTCGCACTTTATTTTCGTTTCCCGATAGTGTCGAGTTTGCAGCGACGCCGGCAATGCAGCTTTAATGCACTTCCACTCCTTGTATTCGTGACTAAGCTGCGCCTATTTCGCTAGAGCTTTTTTTTTTCCCCGCTGTACATTCGCGACCGTATATTGAATGTTCGCACGAACTGCAAGCTGTGCGTTTCTATGTGTGCCTTCGTTAAGCGGATGGATAGTGCGGGACGTATTCATCACGTGTACCACGGTTTCAATGAAACCGATATTGATGTTTGGAACACTTATTATACTTGTTTAATATTTTAGTAAATTAGGCGTTTCAGGTAAACTTGAAGTAAATTAGTTTTCGAATAACTTAGATTTTTAATTGGATCTAAATTGGGGGATTATTGGACCACCATGTGTACAGAGTACACAAAATTCATTTTACGTAATTGTATTTCAAACAATCTAACAGCACGAAATTTATACTTTCCGAACTTGCCATAACTTTAATATTTTGCTGAGAAGGTAAACATCTAAAATTGGGGGTGTCCATAATGGAACCACAGGGTATACACACGCGTCGTGGATATTAATTAGAGTTGAACACTTTTTATTTGAGTAACAAATAAGAAATAATTGCATGTATCAAATGTTATTTTACTTAAGGGTGGAAAATAGGGTACAGAATAAGATCCCTTGTTTTTTCAGTGATAGATGTTGCTATTATTTTTCAAACTCTAGTAATCATTCTATTAGGTCAGTTTGTGAAAGCAACAATTTGCATTTAAGCGAGTTAGGAAAGTTTCGTGCTGGAGAAATTGATTTTACGTCAAAGTATTTCTCCTTGCGTAACTCATACACGTACAATTTTTCAAGTAAAATTGGAAAATTCTTTTAATATCAATTTTCCGATTAATTAAAATTTGATAAATATTTTTTAAAATCAAATCAATCGGACAATTGAGGTACAGTTTATAACAAATAAAAATTGCAATACCGAATTAAACATGTTCAAATATACGCATTGCTGCAAACAAACGAAATGGAAGTTTTACAGAAAATTCCAGCGTCAACATAAATACGAATGCGATTGTACATTTAAATGAAAGTACACGTTAAATGCATTCATGAATCATCTGGTCTCGTTATTTATATCTGATTCGTGAAAAATTCAACTCGCTGGTATTAATCATTACTGAACCGCCGGGGAATCGTTGTTTATTTTCACGAGACAAATGAACAACGATTTAAATGGATTCTTACCTTTTCTATTATGCATACGAGATTTATAATGGATCCTACATCGACGTGATGCTCGCCGCTCCCTAATATAAATGCTTCTGGTATAACTATGTTTAGATTGACAAAGTGTGATAGTATCCCTGTACTTCTCGAGACCTGAAAAAATATTTAAGCAAACGCTTTTTCAAATTTCCAAATTTATTTCCTAAGGGTTTCCGAATTTAATTTAATTTATTTTGCTCCTCTTTCACACATTGTTAACTTAATGCACAAATGCAAATCTACATTATACTTTTTTTTTTTACAAAAAAGGGGGTTGGTAGTGTTGGGTGTATAGGAAGGGTGGTTGCTTTCGAATGCGTTAAAACGAACACTAAAACTCGTCTTCTGGAAGCTAGTTTACAGAGATTCCTCTGTTTATTTGTTTTCGCACGTATACAGACCAGAGAAACCGGTGCACCGAATCTCATTGCCCGCCCCGTTCGTGTGCGGTCTCCCATTAAAATCGACCCCTTTCCAAGGGTTTCGAGCGCGTTCTACTACGAAATATTGCAGCCGCATTAAACACGTCTTGCCCATTTTCGCGGGAACACTCGCGAACCGTAGCTAAGTATTAATTATTCAAAGTGGCCGATTAAAATAATTGTACTAGTGGATGCAAGAAAAACCCTAATATCCAAAGTCATTTTCAAAAGAATTCTATGTCCAAACATTACAGATACCTACTGAAATTATTACAAAATTGATAGATATACTATTTTATATTTTCTAAACCCACTGATAAAGGAGAAAAATGGTATTATGGTCCCCTTGCTGGTACTTTGTCACCTTTGCGATTTTCATATCATAACTGAAACATCTCGAGATCGAATCCGGTTAAATTATTTTTTTTTTTTTTATTTTCATATTTTATCACAGATAACTTTATTAGTTTACCTACACTTTAAACAAAATTTAAAGCAATTTAAATTATGATTCAGACTTCAATAAGAAATATAAAACTGTGGGGGGCCATATTACCATCCTTTCCTTTATTAATATTTACGTAGGAAACAGTAGCGTTAATAGATCTTAATTTATATTCTTGGAAAGTAGGGATAATTAATTATATTACCTGACACTCGTAAGTCCCGTTGTCTCTTTCTTGAACGTACTTGATTTGAAGCGTCCAATCGTCGGAACCCTCTGGATGCAAAACCTGAAACCGCTCGTCGTTCGTGTACGTGAACATGGAGCTGGTTAGGATGTGGAAATCACGTCGTCGTATCCAGGATATCTGGAAACAGTCGGGCAAATCGTTGATCAACGCTTTCTTGTCCCGGGGTTCGTTGGGGTGGCCAGTGATAAAGTACAGTTTCCCCCCTCCGGGTTCTATTTCCGGTTGAACGATGCCGATAACGGGGCTTCTTACCTCGGCGTCGGACACCGTTCTTTCGGCCAAATTGCGAACTTTGCAATGCAAAAAGGCTGTCCCTCCCAACTGCACCGTGACGTTTGAGACGGTGTTGTTATCGTTCGCATCGTTCACTCTTTGCAGCTCATCCAGATTGCTGAACCACAGGGTCTTCCAATCCGACGGTATGCTGTAAGGTACTCGTCGGTCTGAAATAATTTATTAGTTGCAGAAGGTGGACTTTACTGTTACTTCAAACAATGTCTTTTGACATTTCATCTCGTAGAATACTTATGCAAAGTATTTTCATATAAAATTTAAATGGAATCATATACGTAGTTGAGATTTCCTGGTAGCCAGGTCAGAAGACATAGTTCTCAGAATAATATAAAGGAAGTCGCAGTATTCTAACTTGCATTCATACCTATCGCATACCACGATAAAAATATTTTTTAAACTCGAATTCCACTCGTTGAAATTATCTTTTTTAAATTGCCTCGTAGCAACCTCCATTATCCACCCTTGTGATTTTGCCAGGTGTTCGAATTTTGAAATATCACCATACACATGAAATTTCCAGGAAAAAAAAGAGGAAAAAGAAATTCGATTTTTTGAAACTGTCAGGATAGTGCACTCCCTTAACAAAAAGCGATTGGTAGTAACCAAACTGGGCTTTCGAAATTGGATCTCTTCCGTTCGCGCTATAAGAGGATTGCTTTACTAATTTTGTTATTCGAACTTTTTTATGGTTTCTGATTCCTTGTTACGATTGTTGTTCGGAACTGAGGGATATCTTCGTGTATCGAGGTAACATAAAAAGTTGAGACGTAAAAAGCTCTGGGAACTGATTTCCTGGTAGCTCGAAACGAAGGAAAAGAATCGATGATTCCGTGCGATATAATTCCTCGTTAGGAAAGGTTCGTGCACACACGTGTGCACTCTATTAACTCGATAACTTCCCGTTTCTTTGAAAGAGGAAGACGAACGCCTTTTAAAGTCCCTAAACCAGGGAATCATCGAACGGGTATTTTAGATACATGGAATTTTAACGCGAATATCGTAGGAAAGCTTCCTATTCGTAGTCGGATTATTCCGTAACATTGTCGGCAAAACAGAAAATACACAGTTCCCCGCTTAATATTAATTAATTAGGTTGACGGGGTATGAAAGAGGGAGTGAAAGGGTGGGTCGACGGTAGCAGGAAGCGAGGGAAGAAGTTTAACGTGCAAAGATAGGACGGCGAGGGGGAAGTTTAACGCGGCGAAGAGGAATAGCCAAGTCGAAGGAGACAAGGAAGGCAATTTGAAAGTAACCGGCTAGCTTCGGCAAAGAGAATACTGAAGAATAAGGAAAACTGGTAGGTAGTTGTGCGCTGGTTGAATATAGAGAAATCCGTAAATGGAAAGAGAGAAAATTGAGAAACAGAGAGAAGCCAGCGAGAGGAAGGGTCTAGGCAAAAGACAAGCACTTGAGACTGAACTTTGCGAGCTTTTGAATGCAGGGCATAAGCTACCTGCCTTTTGTTTCCACGAGACAATGTGAAACCTTATACAACGAGACAAGAAGCAGTAAGGGGCAAGAAGGGTGGGAAAAGGGGGGGCTGGCTACGAGGAAAAGGTGCTCCTACCTTTACTTCGACCAGTTAGTTGGGCAGGATTGTATTCTTTTCTTTCCTTTTTAAGTATTCCCAATTCACAGCCACTTTTGAGTGGGAGAGCAAGTGCACACTAGAGGGGACTTTTCGCGAGGTTACCGCGCTTTTCGGCGTTTTCTCTCTTCTTAGTTTTCAATCCTTTGCCAGAAGACCTCGCGTGTCTCCTTCAGTCGCGGCACGGCATTTATTTATTGCACACCGAGCAAAGGCCTTGTCTAATGTAGAGTTAATTGCATTAAAATCAACCGCTTTACTCGGGGGCTTCTTGCATCGAAGGATTTCCGGTGCAGACGCTCCTCGAGGCTAGAGAACGCGGCTAAATGAGCAAACGTTAATGTGGCACTTGACGGAGGCTTTGGTTTCGATGAAGGTATTTGGTTGTTTAAAAAATTCGCTAATTAACAATTTATGTATTT